ACCGAATATATAAGGTATTCCCTTTAACTCACTTGATAATATATGCTGGTCGGGGTAATACTGTGGAAACAGGTCCGAGTTAGAATAGATGAGGTAGGGCATGTGTAAGCTGTGTTTAACGCTTCGTATATGTATATATGTATGTATGTTGGTATATAGATAAAGAGACAGAGTGGGGAATGCATGTATGGATGAGTTTCGGGAAGTTCCCACTTCTTTAGATGGGATCCGAATTTTAGGTTGTATGGGAAGAATGAAAGTGGGCCTGCATGAGGAACTATTTTGTAGGTTTGTTGATTATAATAGTGGATTAGTTGGGTTGCTCTACCTCCTCTGGTTGAAACTCGTATATGTATATATATAGTAGTGGGTTAACAAGGTTAATGGGGGAGTCATATGGTTTTTAAGTTGAGAGGAGTGTTAATGAAATGAATACATGCATGAGCAATACTCGATCATGAATTGATAAGGAATTAGGTGGGTGTGGGATTAATTCATAAATGGTCCTTGTATTGAACAAGTTTAATCATATGGTCTTTAAAGGGGGAGAGCAAGCAGGCGAATCCTCAAGTCAAAAGGTGAAGCAGAGTAATTATACTGTGAGTAAATTCTAACCTAATGTTTATCTTAATATGATTATGGTATTCGGGTCATGAAGCGACCTGAGTACGAGGTATATGATAGCTTGGTAAGATTTAAATCGATAGTGATTGAAGTTTGCTATGTGGCATGGTTACATGATTGAATGATGAAGAAATGATTGAATGATCCTATAATTGGATGATGTTACCATATAGTGGTAATTGTATGATATGCGACGATATGATGGTATGACGAGAAGGTCATAATACATGTTGTTATGTGTGTGCTAAATGATATTATGTGATGAGTATATGATATGTGAAATGTCATTTGAGGCAGTCAAGTTAAAAGAATGGAGAGAAAGGTTGCCTATTGTGAATGATACGAGATGAGATAGAATGGCATGTGAGCCATACAAGTCAATGTGATATGAAATGGCCTTGCGGCACATAAGTGATACATTGAGTTGTGACTAACTATAAGACTTTGCATGGTCACCTAAAGCAAACGTAATGGCGCCCTGTCATGCACTCATTACAAGTGAAAAGAGGCTTCAAGCCTAAGAGATAAAGAGTTATACGAGAACTCCTTTTAAGGAGTAATGCCAGGCCTGGCTACGAGTTCACGAGATATGGCACTTTGTGCCCACGAGTTTACGAGTTTATGAGATATGGCACGTTGTGCCCCACGAGTTAACGAGTTCATGAGATAAGGCACTTTGTGCCCACGAGTTTATGAGATTTGGCACTTTGTGCCTATGAGATTACGAGATCACGAGATTACGAGTTCACGAGATCCCGGGGAGTGCATGACTTGGCAAATTAAAGAATAAAAGCTACTGAATCCAGCTAACTATATGTATGTGTATGATTGGATGCTGATTCATTGTTGATTTTGGATGCAACATGAGTATGTGAATGCCAAGCTTGATATTTGTCATCTTTGTGTGATATATGACTGAGATGGCAATATTAGTATTTTCCATATTTGAGGTATAGAATGTGAACCCTTACGTGTGGTATGTAAAGGTTGATGTGTTTTATATGTCATATTAAGTGATATGAGGTACATGTTATGATGATCTCCTATGAGGAGTAGTACAACGATTGATCAGGAAGCTGTGACATAAGTAGTAATGATTTACTAATTTCATTATGGTAGTGCCATGAGATATCGACGTGTATAATGTTATCACGTGTATAATGTTATGAATCTACAATACATTCCTTGATGTTGTACGTGTTGGTAGAAGTGTAAAATATGAAGGAAAATTCCGTATGGGATATAAGAATAAATACAAACCATATGCAACACTAGGTATGGTAAAGTAAAGGAGAAACCTTAAACGAAGGATATATGAAATATAGAAATGACCCATAACGTATACGTGATAGATCGAGTGATCAAGGGAAGAAATTTCCTATGAATCTACATAGGTGAGATCTAAGTAAAATTTATTACGTGATTGAATATACATAGAGTATAGTGGACGAAAGACACTCCGAGTCACAGCATAGCCTGATATTATTTTCGTATTAATATTTATATTAGGTTATTATTTACTCATTGAGTGACGTCTCATCCCCGTCAATATTTTTTTTCCTCACAGGACTAGAATGACATCACTAGAGCGAGATGGATGAGTACTGTCGGCCAAATGGCTAAGAGGTGGGCGGTGGAACTGAACTCTTCAAAAATATTCAATTTAAAATTTGGGAACATGTAGAGAATTTTCAAACAAAGGCTTTAGAGGATGCCAGTTTTAAAATACAACTGCATTTTCTAAGCGCTTCATATAAAGATTTTGGGTAAATCAATCATAATTTGGTCAAAGAAAATATTAGGAATAATAATACAAGGTAGGGTGTTACATTGATTTTGGCTATTTCCCGATCTGTAGCAGCGCGTTTATAATAGAGACCTTTTGCGGTGGATGCTTCACTACGTGACGGGAAGAGGTGTGTGTAGACCCATCACTGTTTGGTATATTGTGCTGGTAGTTATGGAAAAATAGGAATGTACATGTGTTTGAGAAGCAGTTAACACCTTTTACGGAGATTGCGGTCAGAACTAAGCTCTTGAAGCAACAGACCGTGCGAGCTTTTAGTAAAGGGAGTGAGGCCATGGGAGGAGACAGGCAGAAGTCGATTGAGTTGGTTTGTTGGAGACCGCCGAAGCCTGGATGGTGTTGCCTCAACACGGATGGGACAACTGTCCTGGTGCAAGGAAGCTCGGCGGCCGGTGGGGTTTTGCGGGATGAGGAGGGCCGTTTAATCAGGGCATTTGCACTCAATCTTGGGGGTGGTTCAATCACTCACGCGAAGCTTGCAGGTATAGTCTGTGGTCTTAGTGTTGCTTGGGAGGAGGGTATCCGGATGCTGGAGGTTCAGACGGACTCCAACACGACTATTCAGCTAATCCAGATGGCGTCGGAGAGTCAATCTTTCAACGAGATAGTGTTTTTTCAACTCTCTCAAAGTCTCTCTATTTTCCTTCTATTTCAGGATGAGAACAGAATCATAAAAATTCCAAGGTTCATTATCAAGAACCTTCTGCTTATCTTTCCGGATTTGGCCGAAAAAGAAGCAACGCTATGGATACCATGACCGATCACCATCGATAAAGAAGAATCTTTCTAAATCACTTCGGGGAATATGAGTCGAAGCAATAACAAGAATATTTCTAGTGGAACATCTTTCACCGTGCTGGTTCTTCCCTCCACACGTTCTCAACCTGATCGATAAAGTGAAGTACCTAGAGGTAGTACGCTATGATGATCCAGAGAAACGTGTAGTTTCCGCATCGGACACTTGTGGCAGCTGCGAAGGAGTTGTTGGCTAGGGAGTGACAAGTTTCTCTGTCACATGTCTACCGGGAAGGCAATGCAGCCTACGGTTTCCATGTGGTCAATGCAGCCTGCCCTATGCTGAATCATTGGCTCTTATTTGATAGGTTGGGTGCTGGTACCCCGAGACTGGTCTAATGTTAAGGGTTGAGGGCCCCTAGCGCTCGTTGTTTACCAAAAAAAAAAAAGAGAATAAAAGGACTATACGGGAACTCCTTCGAGAAGTATTGTCTATCTTGGCTATGTTTGTCGAGTTTTGTGATTCACACCTTGAACCTAAAATTTCCAACTATGTCCTCACTTTTTTTGTAAACCAACTTCTATACTTCCCTTTTTATTACTTGTTTTCCGTGTCATTGCTTTGTGAGGAGGGAAATATTGAAATGGTTGTAAGTAGATTGGATTTAAGTAAAAGGGGTTCGGTAATTGTGAGTAAATGATTTCAAGGACATGAGAGTTAGCGGCCATTTATGGATTGTAAACATGCTCTACTTAATAGTGTTCGGCAACGAAATGAAACGGTCAAATTTGTCCTAATTTTTTTATAAACATTATTACTACTCCAACACCACCAAATCACAATGCAAGACCAATATATGGTCCCATTTCAGAAACCCAATATTTGCATGATGCTCAAACATCAAAACATTATTATTAACTATAGGCAATGTTAAGTCTGCATATACAAGCTCTCATATAACGACTAAATTTTCTCGAAGCATTTCAGGTCAAGGTGATCATAAGCAATGCTGTGGGTGACAAAGATCCAGTACTTGGCTTGGCCGGAGCTGTTGGAAGCAGCAGTAATATTCATGCTGGTAAAATCCGTACTGGGTGATAAAGGGTAATAAACACCCTCGTCGATGCTTACCAGCTTCAACCGCTGAGCAGCCGAGAGCGCCTTATTGTGCTCCTCCACCGCAAACACGGCCAGGCTCTTCTGCGACTCCCATTGCAGCTCCTCATGAGAGAGTGGGCGAGATGGGCCGTACCATGGTTCATAACACGACGACGCTGCCGGCTTCACAGACACGAGGGCACTTAGTACCATGATCAGGACGGCAACCACGGCTAAGGGCGACCGCTTTGTCATTTTTAGACTTTGTGCTTTTTCGCTTTGTTAAGAGCTCTGCGTTGTAAAATTCTCTTGTATTTTTTGTTGAGGGGAAAAAAGAGTTTGTGGGAGCTGAGTATTTATAGTGCTTTGTATGGGGGGATTTCCTATCCCCGACTATAACGTTTTCACCTTGAAAGTTAAAAAAATGGAATTCATTAACGTTTTAATCTCCTAATTAAGAAATTTGTATTTTTTTTCAGAAGTCGCATTTAATTAGTTGTTTTAACGCCCAAGGGCACTTATTAACATACCATTAATGAAGATGGTTGTTATATGCTGCAATATCCCCAGATCAACCTGGTGTACATCCATGAAAGTTTCAACATTTCAGAGCGCCTATAGCTCGTTTCATGTCTTAGCATCTCAATCAATGGTTCCTTTTCCAACCACTTCCACAGTATAGAACCAAAAACGGAGAAAACCCACAAACAAAATTACATCAGGAAAGAGTAATGATTATTCCAATACCACGGTGGCTCCCAATTCTTTGAGCTGCTCAACAATGGCGGTGGCCTCCTCTTTAGTAAGCCCTTTCTTCAGAACCGCAGGCACTTTCTCCACCAATTCTTTCGCCTCTTTCAGACCCAAATCGGTAAAGGATCTGACTTCCTTTATGATCTTGATCTTCGCCGCCGCGTCGTACTTCTCCAGCTTGATGTCGAACGCCGTCTTCTCCGCCGGCTTCGAATCCGACCCGCCGGCGGCGGGGCCAGAGGAAATGGGTCCGGAGAGGGCCGGGCCGTAGCGGTTGAGACCCATTTTGTGGCGGAAGAGGACAGCGTAGTCGTGGCGCTCAAGCTTCGTGAGGTCGAGAAGATCGCCGGCGATGCGGTCCAGCTTCTGGGTTCGGATCTCGGAGGCGGCGGCGATTGCGGACAGGGTGCGCGAGATGACGCTCTTTGGACTGAAAGTTAGGATCTTGGTTAGGGATTTGGCCGGGAATTTTGAGGAGATCGAAGCCATTTTCTGAACTGCGGCGAGGAAATTTTGGGGTTGCAAGCGATTTCGGGATTCAGGGAAAATTGGGGCTACTGCAAGGTTCAGACTTGAGACCAAAATATGTATAAGAAAATTGATGTCTTTACCTTCTTGATTCAAATTGTAATCGACTGCATTGAGAAATGAGAATGCGATACCAATGTCGTTTTACCGTTTGATAGATTACTAGAGATCACAAGTATGACTTGCTCTATAACTCGAGGAAACTTAGGTCACAAATGCAAAAGGATTGTAGAAGTTCTTTAGTTGTAGGATTAGACATTGCTATTGAGTTATGAATCCTCACCGGACTAGGATTTCTAATTGGATTTGTGACCATATAGCCCTTTCCTAGTAACTATTAAGCTCACCACTATATACACTGTACTACAACCAATTAACTTCAGCAAATTAATCAGTTCGACATTACACAAAGCTCCAACTGATCCTCTCTATTGGTGATTATCATAAAAATAATAATAACAATTTTTAAGATGTGAAAGACATGGGCGTATCACAGAAAGAGGAACGCCAAGAATACACTTGTTCCCTGAGTAATCCTGCCTCAAGGCACAATGAGGAGAATCTGCCACACAAGGATTACAATACAACTTTAGCAGGGAAAATCATCACAGCAGCTTAGCTCCAGGAATTCACTTGGAACCATCTTCTTTTTGTACATGCCTTGGAACCCAAAAGTGCACGATCATCGCAATCAAGCTTCAAGCTTCAAGCTTTGCAGCATTCAAGCTTTTCCTTGGTTATGTTTTTCGCTGGAGTCTGTCCTTGGTATCCTCTTTGCTTGCTTGCTTGAACGCAGTGAAAAGATCATCGAAGTGTGTCTTCTGCTTCCAATTCTTCATCATCATCATCATCATCATCAGACACAATGGTTAATAAGGAATACTTCACGCGCAGAGAGATCCTTCCCTTCTCGACCATTAGCCTTGCCCCAGAAACAACCCAGTAGCCAGGATTGTCCTGTGGGCCTCTGGCCATCTCTGTTGTGTCCACAAACTTCAGCAGCTTGGGGGCTTGAACCGGGACCGGTGGACCTCCAGGGTACACGGCTGAATTTATGTTGACGTCGGCTGGTCTCGGAGCTGGCTTCTGAACTGAAGTGAAGTGATGGCTGATCAATGTAGATATCAACCCAGATTTAGCTGCCAAACCTGGGGATCCATCCCACTCGGGATGCTTTAAACGTGCAGCACCTGACACAGTTGAGAATCTAAGCCGCAGGAAGAGAACGCTCTTGAACCCATAGTTCTCCACTTGTAACCGGGCACCCGTTACTATGGAGAGATCCTCGTCAGACTCGATTGGAGCCGTGCAGACATGTGAGAAGTGCTTCCACTGAACCTTCTCGTGATATTCACGATACGACTCTTGGCTGAAATTACCATTGGGGTCATCTTTGAGTTGGAAGACCTTAGGGAGAGACGAGAGATGCTGTAAATGTATGGCTAAGCGGTTGCATCTTTTCCCCTCTAGGTAAAGTCTAAGGCCAGTCACCGGCCTCTGGCCCACGTCAACCTGCATGGAGTTTGTATCAGATATAGCATATAGTATAGGGTGCCTTTTTTTGAAAACTAAGGAACTTAAGAAGAAAAGTTTACATAAAAGGTTAAAACAAACGGTTTTCCAATCTAACTACCCAAACCCAGTATTCAACCTAAATCTCAACAATTAAAAGCTAAAGCCACATCAGCCAAATCTTTGTAAAATCCCAACCAGACATTTTTTCTTGACTTGTTAATCTTTTAGCAACAGCTGAAACAAACACACTCACAATTCAGGGGTTGCCCACAAATACACAATCCAGAAGTACATTATTCAGCTAAATTTACAGTTCCGGGTTTCCATGTTCTCTTTTCAGGCAAGCATCGAAACAATGACATGAGCGAGGAACAGCTATTTGAACAGATCAGAGAAGCAAAATACTTACTGGAATTGTGTTCACAAACAGCTTGGGGCCCATAAAGCTGAACTGTAGTGATGCATTGTTTTGTTGGCGACGTTGTGGGCCGAGTGGGAGCTCGCTAAACACTGGGGCCCACTGCCTTGGCAGCTGAAATTCCAAAAACTGGTGTAACTCTTCAATTGGGGGCTTATCTAGTACACAAGATTGAAAGAGTACAGAATTCCAATCATTAAGGTGGTCTGAAATGATGATCACGTATAAGAACAGGAGTACTAAAATCAATATTCTCACATCTTAGATAGAGATTTATGGCATGGCTCAAGAACCCACTCCCTGGGACTCCATTCAACAGGGACGTAATAGGGATGAAAGACATAGAGATCGCATCAGGCTCTAATTGAACGGTGTTTAACCACTCACTGTGTGAAAGGTATCCACTGTCATTTCCGCCCCTCCTCTTGTATATTCTTGTGATGTCCTGAAGGACACAGTAAGTAAACAAGAACAGGATGGCTAAGTCATCAGGTTTTGGAAAGGAGACTAAAGTGATTGTTTAAAAGCTTAATGACTGAGAACTTCAGTATCTGCCTGAACAGTTATAATGAAACAGATGAAGAAAATGAAAGGGATTAGTCATTAGAAAAGCACCTCCTTGTTAGAATAAGAACTCGAAGGACTGGTATCAGCAAACCTCAATCGCTGCTCTCTTATCTCGAACTGAAAGAAAAATGATAACTTTAGATGCATAGATAGTAAATAGTTATCAACTTATATTCAAATGTGCTGCTGGGTTTCTACATTCAACATTTTAAAATGAAACGGGAGTAATAACCAACTTTACATAACAAATGTGCAGAAGCCTCAAAACATAAACAGTTTGTTGCCCGGGAATATCTAGTGAGCTCTATAATAAGATGCGACAGAGTTGTGAAGCTAAATTTTCTTCAAATAAAAGGAATAAACAAGTTGCTTACTGACCTTGTTATTTTGATATACTGGTTCAGAAGACTGGCTGTTTACATCTGAGAATCTTTTATCCGCCATTTCTTTCAATCTTTTCTGCATATCAGCTGTTTGAAGAGTTGATGAGTGCTGCTGTTTTATGTATATTACATCCTTTCCACCCATCTTGACACCAACAATTATATGTGTTCCAAACGTCTCAATAAACCTGAAATGGCCGGTCACTTTCCCAGTATCAGCTTCATGCTCAAATGGACATAGATACTGAAACTGATGTCATATCATAAACACTCATTTTTAATGGATTTGATATAAACTCGAACAGTTGGCTTAGATTCTACAGGTTGCATCTTAATATACAATTTCAGAGGAAAATGGAAAAACCTAAGTTTGCATGAAGTTCATCGTTATCAAATTTCATTACCTGGACCTAATGTGAAGTGCATATCATTTTTGGAACAACATCAATGACAAATTAATTAAACAAGGAACATTAGGGCCCAAATTATATGGATACACAATTACACAGGCATTATTAGTACCCTCGTGTCTCATGCAGATAGTTACCGTTTGCACCGCGTGCAAATTTATACAAATATATAGAAACAAGGAAGTTTATTAATGAGATTGTGTTGCACCAGTGCAATTCCTAAAAAGTAGAGATTCATGATGATCGCGAGAAATCAGCACCAGTCAAAGCTTCAAACTTAGAGAACTTAGTACCAAATCAGAACAACTTCACTTAAATAACATCTAAGAAAACCTGAGCACGTAGTCTTCAGTACACTCAAGAACAAGCACAACCCAGATCTTAAACGCTTACTTGGCCAGGGCAGCTGGTTCCCATGATGACGGGACTGCCTTCTTAACATGATCACGAAGAACAATCTGAGACTTCTCTAGTGCCACAGTGTACAGTGTGATGAACACCCCATCAAAAGCAAGGGTTTTAGTGTTAGCAGCATCTTTCTGCCAGCAGCCTGAGAACTCAAACATGGTATTGAAGAGCCCAGAGGGAATTTTTCCTGTTAGAGACATCTCCTGGTTGACCTGCTCTGACATCTGTAGGATTACAGTAAGGAGGGAAACATGAGTCTCAAGTACACAGCAATAAGTAAATCTCCAGCGAGCTTTTCGGAAATAGCTTCCATATAAACCAACTGTTGCTACTTGACAAACCCATCAAATTAGTAATAGGTTCACGACCTAATGCTACAAGAAGACTTAGATCGTCACATTGTAGCAAACATGAAAGTAGACTACCTGCTGGAATGAGAGAACATCGGACCTAAACCGTGTTCTTTCTCCTTTATCGCATTTTATTGATTTGGGAACATTCGGGATGACAATCCCGCCGGGCAGTACAATCTCTCGACCACCATTTTCATCAATCTCAATTAAACGTGAATCATTAACATCTCCTTTCCGGTACTTCAATCTCAGATCAATTGCAATGTCATATCCAAGGCCTATGGAGCCAATTGCATACTCAGCCGCCTTAGGAGCAGGAAATCTGAGTGCCATTTCTCAGGGCATACCTTTCTTTCAACAAAACAGCATCGAAGCCCTGCAAACAGTAAAAAACAACAATTACTTGACTATAACTGGCTGGAACACATTGATAAAATGTTATTGAACGAACATGCAAAGCTGCAATAATGAACACTTCCAAGATTGCACCACAGCAACTTTAAAGCACTAATCAGAGCCTTCATGGCTTCATCAAGTGCAGAAATCATTGCATACACAGCAAAAGTTTACACCTTTCCACATAAATCAGCAGCACCAACTCCAACCTTACACGCCAAAGCAAATGCACAAGCTTAAAACAAATCAAACAACAGATCAACTAAACATTTACCGCTGCGGCACTGCCAAAACACGGTCACCTAGCTAGAATCTCAGCAGCTTGAACTACTCACAAATTTTAAAAAAGAAGAAAATCACTGGGAGCCCATTCAATTCATTCATTTTTTTCAGCTCTCTACTAGCCGAGACAAAGAGAACTTATGATGAGCCATTAAACTACCCCAAATTAAATGGAGAGGAGCTGAGATCTAGTATCCCCGTCTACAATCAAATGCTGGATCAAATTCAGCTCACAAATGGAGCAACAAAACATATACATACTTTCTCCAGTGGCGCGGAAATCCAACCAGCTGCACAGCCCTCCTCCAACTTTCACTCCCTTCCTCTCACCATCAAGCAAAGGCCACACCTTTTTCAGCTCTTTCACAACCTCAATATCCAAATTGGAGCTATAAGGCAAAACCCAAGTGAGAATCTCAAAGTATGGGCTGGTAGCCAGTTGGCAGGAGCTCCAGAATCGGAGTCCGCCAAAAGAAAAACAAAGGTGGAGCAGAGGTGACAGGGTAGAGAAGAGCTGGGAAAGAAAACCCTAAACGAAGTGATGGGATGAAATGAGAGTAAACTACAGAGCACAGAATGGGAAAATGTGGAGAAAAGAGAGATTGGATTAGAAGAAAGAGAGAATTCCCATGGTTAATATTTTAGCTTTGACCAGAGGAGGAAAGCAAGTGGAGGTGAAAGAGAAAGAGGGCGAGAGAGAGACTGACATGTGCTTTGAGAGACTTTCTTCCCTCCCACCTCCCTCGCCTAGCCTTTGACACACAGCACACAACTCAATACCGGCCAAGGAGGAAACAGCAAAATTTGTTTTTGTGCGGCCGCGACTGCAGTCAGCCTTTTTATAATGGGATTACAAGGGATTTGACATTAAACAAGTTATAATGATGATTAATTTATTGCCTTCTGAAAATTGCTTAGATGGGAAGATAATTGAATAACATATGCGTGTTGGTGTCGTCTTTATCTAAAGTTTATTAATTTGTTGACGGAAAAAAGCTTATTAATTTTGTTACCTTTTGAAAATTATTTACTATAAGTAGAATCATGTTGATTTCATTAAATCTCATTAAAAAAATAACTACTTTCCTGTTATTAAAAAATAAACTTAATTACTTTAAATAAAAAAGACTTGAGTCATCTTGCATAATTCTCACAATTGTGAGAACTATGTTGAATAATAGTTATACATTGAATCGATGAGCAAGATAAAGATCGAAGTATAAATGAATTGTAAATGTTTAAGTTCTATGAACAATTATGATTCGTGAAGTTGTTTTCGATTGCAATTCGACAAAACTAAAAGGAGGATTCGTTAGTCCTTCCTTAAAAGTTAAAACAGGTCACGGGAATAAATTATATATATATTTTCACCATTAGAGTGAAGAGTATAAAAAAAAACAAGTAGCATCATGAGCATGAGGTTTATGGCTCAACCTTGTTAAGGGTTGACGTTCTTTCAACGGAGAGTGTAACTTGTTAAAAAGTTCTAGCAAATCGCATTGAACAATACCTCAACCAAATTAAAATCTCGTGTTAAGGAGTTAAAATCCTCAAATGAGAGTTGATTCATTGAGAAAGTTTTTGATATCTACAAGGTGTCTTACAAATAAATCAATATATTCTTTTAGGGTGATGATTACGACATCTTGGATCGAGATTCTAATAAGTTTCAAGTTTCAACCATGTTATAGTGCCAAGTGCATTGAAATCATGTTATAGTTTCAAGTTTCAAACAAGGTTACGTGATGATTGAAGCATAGACCACTCAATATTTAGAGGACACATGAGTACAATAAATTTGGTACTTGACTATGGAAGTTATGATTCTTCACAAATTTCAATGGCTTTATGATTTGGATGATAAATTTGGTAGTGAGGGTTTAGGGTTTGTCCCCAAGGACCAAAATGTGTCAAAACGAAAGAGAAGCACCTCGACCTTTCCTTGGCAAACACTTTGAGAATCCTCTCCATCTAACGTCCAGCAGATACTGGCCGAAACCCTCCAAAATACCAAAACCTTGCCCCCGCTGGATCATTCTAGAACCCAGCCTTCTTCCCATCTTCCCTGTTATATTAACCCTCACAAAACCCTTCCTTCCTACCTCGCGAGACACTTCGCTTATCTTCTTCTCCATCTGAATTTCACAAACCAACTAGGTGGGATTGAAAGCTCAGGTTGATTGGTTCAAGGTGATACAAAAATGGCTTCCTCAACAGCACAAATTCTCGGCGGGATGGGGTTTGTTGGGTCCTCCCCGACCCCGGCGAGAAAACCCAGTTTCTCCTTCGCCCCAAAGACTGTATTTTTGGGCCAGAATTTGGGCGGGGTTTCCAAGACGGCGGCTTTCCTGAGGTACAAGCGTGGTCCGGCGGGGAGGCACTCCACCGGACCGGTGAGGGTCGTTAGCGAGAAGGTGGTCGGGATCGATTTGGGGACGACGAATTCGGCCGTGGCGGCGATGGAAGGAGGCAAGCCGACGATCGTCACCAACGCTGAAGGGCAGAGGACGACGCCGTCTGTGGTGGCGTATACCAAAAACGGCGACAGGTTGGTTGGGCAGATCGCCAAACGGCAGGCCGTCGTGAACCCCGAGAACACTTTCTTCTCCGTTAAGAGGTTCATTGGTAGGAAGATGTCCGAGGTTGATGAGGAGTCGAAGCAGATTTCGTATAAAGTGGTGAGGGATGAGAATGGGAATGTGAAGCTGGATTGTCCTGTTCTTGGTAAGCAGTTTGCTGCTGAGGAGATTTCAGCTCAGGTACTTGTTTCCCCTCCTCCTTGTGCTTTCATTTCTAGATTGCTTGTGAACAATTAGGGTTCAGGCTACTGCAAATTGGAACTTGGATTAAGTGGATAACTCAGTTTAGGATCGATTTTGTGATTGTTTGCAATGAACATGTACTAAGAGACTATGGATTCCATGATTTAGGTGTTGAGGAAACTTGTGGATGATGCTTCCAAGTTTCTGAATGATAAAGTGACCAAAGCTGTGGTGACAGTACCAGCTTACTTCAATGATTCACAAAGGACAGCTACAAAGGATGCTGGGCGTATTGCCGGGTTGGAAGTTCTGAGGATCATCAATGAACCTACTGCTGCGTCATTGGCGTATGGTTTTGAGAAGAAGAACAATGAGACCATTCTTGTTTTCGACCTTGGTGGTGGTACATTTGATGTTTCAGGTACCGTGACTGTGTGGTTCTATGTTGAAAAGTAGTTGCCTGTATTTGCCTACCATCAGATACTGCGTACCGAATTTTTTCGTTATGTAATAAGATGAAGCTGCATAACCTTTCTTTTTGGTTAATTGAAAAACGAATAAACCCAATACTGATATGCCTAGGATTCTCTGTGGTTTTGTACAGTGCTTGAAGTTGGTGATGGTGTCTTCGAGGTGCTGTCAACGTCAGGAGATACACACTTGGGCGGTGATGACTTTGACAAGGTTCTGATCTTTGTTATTCATGGCTGCGGATCCACTCTCTCGGGGCTTTTTAGTATGGGATGACAATCAACTAAAAGCGTTTATCTGTTCCTTAATGCAGAGAATTGTTGATTGGCTTGCCTCTGACTTCAAAAAGAATGAAGGTATTGATCTGCTGAAGGACAAACAAGCACTTCAAAGGCTAACTGAAACAGCTGAGAAAGCAAAAATGGAGCTTTCTACTTTGACCCAGGCAAACATCAGGTATGTTAGCTTGTATGCTTACTGTTCCACCTTATTATTTGCAGAGTGTTTGTTCTGAGCTAACTCGATCACTCTGTTTATTCCAGTTTGCCTTTCATTACTGCTACGGCTGATGGACCCAAGCATATCGAGACAACTCTTACCAGGGTGAAATTCGAAGAACTCTGTTCTGATTTGCTTGACAGGTATGTTATGAAGCTACTGGCCCTTTGTCTTGATACCTTTTCCAATGTCCATGATGTATGCATGTGTGTTTGCAACTCCTAATCTCAATTGCCATTGAATCTAAAAGTAATTCTTACCTTGGTACCATCTTAGGGTAAAAACTCCAGTTGAAAATTCATTGAGGGATGCGAAGCTCAGTTTCAAAGACCTTGATGAAGTGATTCTTGTTGGTGGGTCAACCCGTATTCCTGCAGTTCAGGAGCTTGTGAAAAAATTGACAGGAAAGGAACCAAATGTCACTGTAAATCCTGATGAAGTTGTTGCTTTAGGTGCTGCGGTTCAGGTTGGCACCCTGTCCTTATCATACTAGTAACTGTAACCACTCATGTTTTTGTGCATGTTGACCTTATTGAATCTACCTCTGCTGTTATAGGCAGGTGTTTTGGCTGGAGACGTAAGCGATATCGTTTTGCTGGATGTAACGCCATTATCTCTTGGTCTTGAAACTCTGGGAGGTGTGATGACCAAGATTATCCCCAGGAACACCACTTTGCCCACCTCCAAATCAGAGGTTTTCTCCACTGCTGCTGATGGTCAAACAAGTGTGGAGATCAATGTCCTCCAAGGAGAGAGGGAGTTTGTTAGGGACAACAAGTCGCTAGGAAGTTTCAGATTGGACGGCATTCCTCCAGCACCTCGTGGTGTCCCCCAGATCGAAGTGAAATTCGATATAGATGCCAACGGAATCCTCTCTGTCTCTGCTGCTGACAAGGGCACGGGCAAGAAGCAAGATATTACCATCACGGGTGCCAGCACATTGCCAAGCGACGAGGTGAGGCTCATCTTACTAGAGCCTCTCTTTCGTGAATCTAATAGTTGATTGTTCTGTGCAAGTGGGTTGAGCAGTTGACTTCATGACTAATTCCATGGGTGCAGGTTGAGAAGATGGTCAAGGACGCAGAGAGATTTGCAAAGGAAGACAAGGAGAAGAGAGACGCCATCGACACCAAGAACCAGGCCGACTCTGTCGTGTACCAGACGGAGAAGCAGCTCAAGGAGCTCGGAGACAAAGTCCCGGCTCCGGTGAAAGAAAAGGTGGAGGCCAAACTGCAAGAGCTCAAGGACGCAATTGCCAGCGAAACGACCCAGACAATCAAGGACGCAATGGCTGCCCTGAACACCGAAGTGATGCAACTTGGACAGTCTCTTTACAACCAACCTGGCGCAGCTGCTGCTCCTGGCGGTGAGCCTGGTGCTACTGCCTCTGATTCTTCATCGTCAGACAAGGGGCCGGAAGGAGACGTGATCGATGCAGATTTCACCGACAGCAAGTGAGAGAGACAAGCATCTGGGAAGAAAGGCAGTATGTTTATGATTCTTTCTTCCCACTATGTGCTCCATGAAATGTGCACTCCTATTATTGTTCATTTCGCGAGCTGTTGGCCGATTAAGTGTAGTGGTGTGCCATGGGGATATCATTTACAGGGTTAAAAACAGGCAGACATTTTTATTCGAGACTGGAGAGGTCGATCGAGAAGGGAAATGGTAGAGAAGTAGGAAATATGAACCCTTAGAACTGAGAAGACTGTAGGTCCTTGTTTCTTATGTGTGGTGACCCCAAGAGCATAGTTGATGAACTTGGGAAAGCTTGAATCAAACGTGGTTTCTGATGTAAGATTGTTCTGCTGGTGGCAAGGCTATATTGGCTCGTCGGTGACTTCCATCAGAACTCTAATCATTGAGCGGCTGAGATCACCATCTGTTAAATCAGTATGAAATTATGAATCTTTCCTCTACTTGTTATAGTTCCAAAAAATTAACCTAGTAAAAAGACTGAAACTTGTTTTTTTTTTTGGAGGAAAAGTGACAAAAGAAATAAAAAGACTGAAACTTTCAAAAGAAATAAAAGTGACAAAAGAACTCAAGGGAAGAGATTACACATATGTCCCATTAGAAAAAGTTATCTGTCTAAATGATAGGGTTTAAAATAATACCCTTATTTTACCAACAAAAAAAAATAAAAAATAATACCCTTGTAAATTTAGTTTATAATGTATCAAATAAAAATAATCTGTTTTTTCATTGTTGTGGTTTGGTTTCACAAACCATAATTAAGGGCGAATGTAAATACCAGGGAAGTCGGCTAAAGTTTGGTCCATGGGCCTCTAAAGTTATAGCGGCCCACTTGTATGGGCCGAAAACCCAAATACCTGTCCGAGCTTTGGGCAAAAAGAGAAGATCACCAAACCTGGCCCCGCTGGCAAAGAAAGAATCGAAAAGGAACGAACTGGGATTCCTCTGGTTTCTTCCTCCTCCCGTCTCCCGCGGCTCCAAATCCCTAGTGGCGGTGGTGGTGTAGCTGTACCAGCTTCGTTGTCTCCGCCGTCGACCAAGGGAAGAGATAAGGATTTCTTACCCCGCGTTCTTGTGCCGCCAGCTGACGCGAGGCGCCGCTGGGGACAGCCCTGTCAGCGGGATCATCATCGCCTTAAGGTGGAGTTCACTTTCTGCTCTTCCCCCTTTACTTCTCCTCTGATGAACTTTACTGAAATCGCTTCAATTGCTGATTCCATGTTCTGTTGTGATGTTTGTTTCCAGTATTCATGATTTACTGGCTCAATAGATTAGTTGATCTTAACTCGCGGAAGTCTTGGTTGAAATTGGGTGCCTTGTAGCTTAGATAGTTAGATTGTTGATATAATTGCTATGCTTGTGCGTTCTGCACCAGAATCGACAATGGTTAAATTGAAATCCTATGTTTCCTTACTAACGATTGGATTGTGATAGTCTCCATTTTGTTAGATACATGTTCATACTCAGTATTCAAGCTAACTCGTTGCCAGCTTATTGTTTAGCCAACTGGGTTGGTTTTCTTGCTTCAAGGTGGTTTGGAGTGAATGTTGTTATGGAAGAGTAACTAGATTGTGGATATTATCTGGAGCTGCATACCACTTCTTTGTGATTTTATCACAACTGAGTGAGTTTCTGTATGTGCACCTCTTCCTTTGATCGTTTTGGAAACACCACAAAATTCTACGTTACCGGTTATTGGAGAATGATTTGAAACAGCCTTAGTTTTAATAAATCTTAGACGCCTAGATTCGTCTGATGTTAATCCTCACTAAGAAAACTGTAATTCTTGTCTGCTGATGCACATGGTTACTATACAAGCTCTGTTTCAGCATTTCTGATATGGTTTCTTTCATCAGGTAGTTCTGTTGGAGTCCTCAAACAACCGAAATGGATTTATTGGAGATATGGGCGATCTTTGGGCCAGGGGTGTCAGGTGCTGTTTTTGGAGCTGGGTGGTGGTTCTGGGTTGATGCTGTGGTTTGCAGTTCTATTCAGGTCTCATTTGTGCACTACCTTCCTGGGATATTCGCATCCATCGCAGCTCTGATGTTCAACTGTGTTAGGAAAGAGGACATAGACTACTCTCCATATGATGAAGGCGAATGGAGATTGAAGCTGTGGCTCTTCTTTGCTTATGTGGTGTCCTTCGTTTCCCTCGCGGCGTCGGTTGGTTTGTTGATACAAGACTCGATTGTCAAGGACGGGCCTTCGGTGTGGACTGGAGTTGCAGGTGTCTTGCAGTGCGTGTTTGTACTGATCAGTGGATTGATTTATTGGACATCGCACTCTGAATGAAATAACAAATAAGAAGGCACGACTGGCAGCTACCAAATGAATATACCATTTTATCATTTCTGTTATGGGGTTGGAATTGTTGAGTCAAGTTTGGTATTTACTCTGATAAGGTGAATGCAATCATCATTTTCTGTAAATGTCTTGTATGTTGCTTATATTCTGGCGCGACAGAGATAGACCGTTGCAAGGTCATGTTGCCTACTGTGAAGTTGTGACAATTTGCTTTGATTGATGTTTGTTCATATGAGTCTGGAATGGCCAGAAATCAGTAAATTCAGCCTGTTAATAGGTCAGTGTCTTTTCTCTTCAAGTCTTGTGAGGTCTCAGGTGTGCACTGATTTTGGACATCCCTCCCTTCGTTCCCTATTTGACTACCAAACTACCAAAGTGTATCCACCATCTCATGATTCTCTTCTATACCACTGCTTTAGCACACACCTGAGTTACACTATTATGTGCTACCACTGTACCAAGTCGCATCCCTATCGCTGCGTGTTCATATCACGTTCTGGGAAATGGTTCAGGATCGTGTGCTTCCCGAATTGCATTTCTTCGTATGATGGATGATGGTATCCTATTCCTCTCCGAGGAGCACACAGTGGATGCAGGGCCATCGAGGATCCCGTCTTTTGGTTTATCTATCCACACCAGGGACAGTGGATCATCTTTTCGTAGTCTGCACTTCAGCTACTTGATTATGGCATTATGCAGTTACACTGATTTGTTGGGTTCCATGGTCTCGGTTTGATGTTCGTTGTATCAGCAATCTGCAGGTAAGCTATGCTGAATTGACCGGTTTCATTATGCTATGTTTAGGCGTATTTGGAAATCGAGATGCGAGATGCTAGGTCGTATAAACATATCCAAAATTGAAACTCAGCCTTTCAATACATATAAATTCAGTATTTATGACTGCAGAAGTTGATATAAGAATCGAAAGAAGACCAACAAAACAAGTAGCAACAGAAAAATAAAAAGATTTGCACTCTTATGGTTCCTCACTTCCTCATGAAATGAAAGGACTACTGCAGTTGCATTATTATTTTTACCCAAAGCCAGCAGCCAAACGCAACAAATACACTCCCCCACTTTTCTTTCCTTCTGCTTCAAGTATGTATGCCAATTGCCAAGTATCTTATCATACACAAGGGTAAACATTTCACATTTACATTCAAAAAGAGTAAGAAAACTTTTTACCTCTGTAATCTCTTCGATGTAAAAAAAAACCAGAGACGAATGAATATATGCATTTAATATGACAACAGACAGCAGCAACGGGGCAGGCAAGCAAATTCCGGTTCTCATGGAGAAAAAAATCAACCCGTCTTTGAGGAACTCGACTTTCTCCTCGTCAGGAACATGAGGAAACGCGGGAACATTGATCTCTTCTTCTTCTTGGTTGGCTTAACATCTGGTGAGGGTTCAGAACCGGCGTTACTACTTCCCTGCGAGTTCACCTTGGGGCTCATTGGGATTTGGGTTGGCGAGCCCTCTTCAGCAATCTTTGCTTCTTTGCTCCCATCGAAGCTTCCTCTTTGGCTTTTATTACTGTTGGGGGCCCCAGGGGTGGCAGTAGATTCACCAGCCTTTCGTCTTTGCTCGTGTTCAGACCTCCATTTCCTGAGTTCCTGTTCAGCACCCAACTTCCCTTGTTTAGCCTTCTCGGCTTTGTCCATCGCAGCGCCCAGAGCTTCCTTTCTAGCAGCCAGCTCTTGGTTCACCTCTTCCAGCTTCTTTGCAGTCGTTGAATCGGAATCCTTGGCTAACTCGATCTGTGCAATAGCTGTTGCCACCCTTGCATTAGCTTGCTCTTCTGCTTCATGAGCTTGTTTGCTGAGCTCATAGTACTCCTCTAGAGAAAGCGTTACCCCATTCGTGGAATCAGCATCATTCCCAGTTTGTGCTGCTGATTCGCTCTCTTGCAACGCTCTGATAGCATCCAATGCTAGTTTTTCAGAAGCCTTTGCAGCTTCAATCTCCCTTTGAGCTGCGAGCAATCTGCTCTCCATTGTGCCTGCCCCAGCTTTGGCTTGTTCAGCATCTTCTTTGGCCTTCCGAAGATCCTCACGCGCCAGTTGAGCGAGTAGTTTTGCCTCATCAGCTGCGTGTGCCGCTTGCTGCAGTTGCTTAGGCATTTCCACCATTTTCTCTCGTGCTTCTCTCTCCTGGGATTGAACCACCGCAATCTCTGACCTAGTCTTGTCCAGGTCGGCTTCAAGAGAAGCAACTGCAACTGATGCCATTCCCTCCCTTTGCCCAATCGTGGCGATAGATGATTTTTCCTTCTCGAGCTCCAATTGCAACGAGGCAGCAGCCACCTTTAAGCAATTCACTTCAGCATTTGCCTTCTCGATGTTGAGCCTCACTTCTTCGAGTTCCTTCTTTGCTGAAGCCACTGCTGCTTGAATATCTGTGTGATTTCTCTTCTCTGGCCCCTCATGTGGTGAACCTCCTTCTTCAGTATTTTCCTCCTTTAACTTTGACTCCATGTACGCTGCCAATTCAGCCTTCAGATCGACCAGCAAAGCAGAAGCAGCATCGAGCTTTGATTTGAGATCTTTAGCTGAAAGAATCTGCTGGTTAAGTCTCTGGAGCTCTTCCTCAGCCTGTTTCAGCTCCTTCTCCCAGTAAAGAGCATCCTGCTCCTTCGCCATGGCTGCTCCTATTCTATGCTCTTCTGCCTCCATATGGGTAGCATGTGCAGATTCCAGAGATTCCTTTGTTGCTATTAACCCAATCGTCAGTTCCTCAACTGTCTTCTCAGCTTCCTTGGAAGCAGAGACAGCCTCTTCAGCTTTCTTCATGGCATCTTCTTTCTCACTAATCAGAGAAGCATATTCTTTACGTAGAGCTTCCAACTCCTCGTTGACAGACTTCAGTTCCGAAACTGCTGCTGCATGTCTCGATTTAGCAACCTCGAGCTGTGCCTTGGCTGCAACGCTGGCCTCATCGGCAATCCCTTGTTCCAACTCTTCCACTCGAAGCTTGGCAAGTTCAGAATCCTGTTTCGCTTGATGCTCTTCAGTTTGTGCCCTCTCAAGGTTGAGCTTGAGCTCCTCGATAAGTCTCTTTGCACTGTCGAGCTCTTTGATAACTTTTGTTTTGGCCTCTTCTGCAGCATCAGACATCTTCCTGTACTGGGGCATTTCTTCCTGCAACTTGTCTAGTTCTTGCTCTACAAGCTTGCGTCGCTGTGAAAACAAAGGAACAAGTTCAGAGAGTAAGCAAGGAAATAAAAGTTTGCCTGCAATATATAGTAGAAAATTACACTTGGTTTTTACCTCTACAGTCTGCATTTTATGTGCTTTCCAATCAACGATTCCCCCAAACTTTGAAACAGCTTGTTTAACAGATTCAAAAGGTGCTGTTGTGTCAATGAGGCCCCTATTCAAGTCCCCCTGCTTGGAGAGTTTACCAGATTCGCTAGATTGAGGTGTCCTGCTGGCAGGATTTATCATCCTGACTAGTGGAGAATCAGGTAGACCAGAACCAGAGTTTAAACTGGTCTTTACCTGAGGTAGAGCAAAGTCATTGGGTTGCTGCACCTTTGGATTGGGAGAGGAAGAAGGATCTGGAACAGTATTATCATCTACTTGACTGCCCACTAAAGCAGTTTCAGCTGCCTGAGCAGCAGAAGCCTTCTGCTCCACCTCCTCATTTTCCTGCGAATCTATCAGTGCCTTGTGAGCAGAAGGGGTTTGTACAATGTCATCCATCAGGAGTGGTTCCCCGGCGGAATCAGAATTTCCAGCTTTCTTGGCATCCAAGGAACTCTGGACTGTAAAAATCTCATCTATTTGAACAAGAGGACCACCAATAACAGGAGCAGAAACTTCAGAATTATGAGGAACAGCAGAAGTAGGAAGTGCCTGTGAAGTAGAATCATTCATCTGAATAATGGGATGTTGAGTGGAACTAGTCATATCTTTCTCTTTCGAGGCCAGTGAGGAATTCCCAATTGGTTCAGAATTATGAGGAACAGTAGCAGCAGGAATTGCCTGTGAAGTAGAATCATCCATCTGAATAATGGGCTGTTGAGAGGAGCCAGTAAAATCTGCCTCTTTCGGAGCTTTAGAGGAATCCCCGATCGGTTCAGAAACATCTTTAGGATTTCGGGTGGCTTCATTGTCCAACCGAGTATCAGGTCCATTGGAGGAACTTCCAACGGTATCAGATTGAGAAGTTGTCCCCAGTTCATCCACCAATGAAATCGACGTTGCTTTGGGTGCTTGATTGGCTCCCAAGTTTAAAGCTTCAAGAAGTTGATCTTGAGCAACAACCTGGGTTTGGGAAACATCTTGTACACCCGATTCTCCAGGCTTCTCGCTACTGTTTTCTGTTTTCCCATTAGCTTCTCCACTAGAATGTCCATTATTCTGGGATGACGACGGCGATGATGATTCTGCAGGCGCAGGAGGTGTAACTTGAGCCACTTTTACCTCCTCCATGAGAAGAGAATAATACTAAGGCGTGCCACAATGGTGTCTGCAAAATGAAAAACAGAAACAACAGCAGAGAAAAGAAAAAGAACAGCTTTAGAAACATGGAATGGAACCCAAATAGAGAAAGCCTATGCGTCAGCCCACAAGAATTACAATCTGCAGCACAGTTGGATGCCCATCAAATAGATCAAAGGTTTGCATTTGAACAATACTCAGGGGCAAAGATCAAAGAACCCAAGAGACGAAACATTATCCATACGATGCAGAAAGGCAAGGAAGGCAACTTTTCGTTGTTCTCTACATTCACAAAAATCGACCCTTATCGACGAATCTATATGGCTGCTGAAAATGAAACATCTTTCAAGAGCGACAATCAGATTCATCCACCATTTTGCCACCAGAATTTGCCAAACGGTCATGTTTAAAAAAAAAATAGAAGGGGGAAACAGAGCCTGGCAGAAATTCAAAGCAGCCGCCAGCTCAAATCCAAGGGCGTCTCCACATTAAATGAACAGCAGTATTGAATGTATGCACAAATCAATTAAGAAAGGTAAATTAATTTCCCCGTGATAGGGAGAGAGGAAACAGACTCCAGAAAATTGAATCAAAATCCCAACTTTATCCATGGCCATCAGAATACCGTTATCACAAACGTTCTTATGTTTTCCCCAGGAAGGAAAAAAAACAGAGGAAGACAGAAAACCAAATTAACGAAGTCAATGTTGGGGGGAAAACAAAAACGAAGAACACGGAAGAAGCTCCACCAGACAATACCCAGAAAAGGCGCGACAGAAACAAGCAAATTGGGCTACCTTGATCTCGAGCTCCGGAATACCAATCCCCAAACAAAATGAGATCGGAAAGCCAGAAAGTAAGACCCAATTGGCTAAATTGGAATGCAGAGCTAAGAAGCGGGGGGAAAAAACAGAAGGAGATAAGAAGAGGGAACGCACCGCTGCAGGGAGAGGCGACGCGCCGGGGTGATGGAACGACGAAGAGGGAAGCAGTCGACGGCGGCGGAGGTGATGACGGTGGTTTTGGTGGTGGAGGGGTGGAGAAAGAAAAGGGGAAGGATGACGCAAGGGAGTTTATGTAGAAGATGGGAATTTGGAGCTAGCTAAAATTAGCAGGGAGTCACCAGACCAGACATGGAAAGCAGGAGGGAGAAGAAGAAGGAGAGAAAAGAAAGGAAAGAGGAGACCGAAACAGAATAGGAATGGAATACAGAGGAGAGCGAGAGAGAGATTAGACACGTGGAACGATTGGATTGGTGGCGGCTTTTTCTCTTGTGTGTCTCCTCGCTGCACTGGATCCTATCCATCTTTTACCGCCCCGCTTTTTTTTTTTCCTTCATTTTTTTTATGATTAATCTCCCGATTGGGAATTGCCGATTTGCCCTGAATCCTGTATTGAACTGAAGATGTCACTCTAATGGCGGGAGAAACGGCAGCGTTTGCCATCACCAACGTCTCTTATCCAACCCTGATTCTCAGATTGTGGAGGCAGCCATTGAAGCTTTGGTGCTCTCATCTGGGCGGGAGTGTTAACACTTCCACTCTACTTCAGGTGGGTTTTTCTTCTTTCCCCCCTTTCTGTTCAAGACTTCCTATGCCGATTGATTGATTGATTCCTCGTTGCATGGTTGAGTTTCTAGAATTGGCTATTGCTCCTTTTTAATTTGTTGCGAAATTCGGAAATAACGGTGGAAAGTTGCGTTCTTTCTGCGTTTCTGCCTTCTCTTAGCAATATATGTATAAGGGCATCTTCGATTGAAGCAACCACATTGGTCTTTCTGCAACCCATTATTCAAAATTCTCTACCTTCGATTTTCTCAGGCGTTATTCACTGTACGAGCTGCACATCATCGCTGTCTTTTGGCGTATGTGGTAGATTAAGATGGGTTCATTGCGCAGTGGTAATCCAGTATGCTGCCAGCAGCAATTTCCTCGTATTGGAGCTTGCCTGCTTAGAAAGACTGGTGATCTCAGGATATCTAGGTCTGCGTCATTTGTTCGTAATAGCAATGATGGGAGGAAGCTAAGGGCGACGCTATCTGTCGAGGAACTTCCCCCAAATGCATTCCGCCGGAAGAATGATCCACGATGGAGGGGAGGGTTCAGTCTTGGGGTGGATCTTGGACTGTCTCGAACTGGTATTGCCCTTAGCAAAGGCTTCACTGTTCGTCCTCTCATGGTACCACCTTCTCTGCAACTTCTGTTTGTGGGTTAATGTTGTTCCCATTTTTTTCTGGTGTGCGGTTGTTAGTTTCTGAACATTGTTTCAGCTGTGTTTAAGGTGTTGGAAATGCGAGGACAAAAGCTTGAGTTACGGCTTCTTGAGATTGCAGAACGTGAGGTGACATAACGACTTTCTTGTTGGTCCATAAAGAAATGAATGATGTAATGTATTTAAGTTTCATTTCACTTGTCCTAAGAATTTCTTTTGAGTTGTAGGAGGTAGATGAGTTTATAGTTGGTCTTCCTAGATCCTCGGATAGCAAGGAGACCCCACAGTCCAACAAAGTTCGTAGTGTTGCTGGAAGACTTGCTGCTCGAGCTGCTGAAAGGTGAACTCTTATCATGATAACACTAATATCAATTTTGAACAAACAAAAAGATGGTTGCTTTTATGCAGTTTTAGTCCTTTTCGTTCTTTTAAGATGCTTGATGCAGTTAATTTGTGAGAAGGATCCATCTTTTCACGGTGTTCTGGGGTCAGACTCAGTTTTTCTGTTACTCATTTTTTTCTGCTCTTATGGCTTTCAGGGGCTGGAGAGTATACTTACAAGATGAACATGGTACCACCACAGATGCCATGAACCGTATGATTAACACGTAATTACTATGCAGAACCTCTTTTTCCCCGCTTTTGCTTATCTTTCGTCACTGTACTGAAGTTACTAGATCTTTACACCATTTGATTACAGGGCACTAGTAACATCTCTTGTGGTATTTGAACTGGTTGTACTCTATTGCGAAGTCTTTATAACTTGATAAAATTAAAGTCTGCATGGGGCTTATGGGTACATCAGTTTGTTCGTCTGGCAAATCAATAGAAGGCATCTATCAAATTTAAACTTGACTACAGAGCCAATGCTATTGACTTGTCCAATACATGCCACTGTTATGCCCACAGTTCATGTTGATCTATTGTATATAATAGCTAGCTTGTGATCTGAGAAAATTGGCTGAATCTTTCAGGGGACTCGACAAGGAAACTCGGCAAAAGCAAATCGATGCATATGCTGCTGTGGTATGAAACAAATGCTATTTTCCATCTAGCTGAGAGCATACAGTATAAAACACTAGAAAAGTCTGAATCTTGTTCTGTTTTTCTATCTCTGTTATTTTGATGTTTACTCTCTTCTGCTGGTTGCAGATGGTGTTAGAGAGGTACTTTTCCAGGTCAGGCAGTGGAACTGAGCTTGTAGTACCGAAGCAGTTGGATCTACAAGATAAGCTAAGAAAGGGTCCACCAAAGGATATTGACTTTTATCCAGATGAATAACGGTACTACATATTTTCCAACTTCAATTGCTTTACGCTATCTCACAAGTTGGGGGTCTGATAAGAGAAGCTCAAAGTTCTTACAGCTTCTTAGCATCCTACTTCTGATTTTGATACGAAGTGAACCGAAATGACCTTGCCACTTCTATGTGGTTTTTTCCTTTAAAAGCTCTCCTCCACCAAGGGCAACAGCCATCATCAGCTGCTTCTTGTTACTGGTTACTTCCAGAAGGATATTATGAAAGAAGAAACGTTGCCGCTGTCCTTACTTCTTCCTTGTCATTGATTTGGAAGTGCTTAGCTACTGGAATTCATCACCACAGTCTCATTTTAGCTCCTGATTTGTCTGGATTCCCAAATTCGAAAGGTTGATCCACTAACTTCGCCTAAATTTGGTGTGGTTCAGAGGGCCTGTTGGAGGACTTGAGAGTGAAGAATTTACATGACTCTTATCCAGCTGCAGGGGCATTGTTGATTCACATTATTTCAGTTGTGCAGAGCTTCATCAATCGCCGAAAACGCCATGGCTTCTTCATATACACTGAATGCCGCTGGTATGAAGCAGCTGCTGTGCAGAAAATGAGAGAAGCTGTATGAAAACAGAGGACTTGTAATGCAAACTTCTTGTTCCTGACACTTGGAACCTCAACTTTTCCCAAACTTGTATTCAGAAATACATTCTGGGCCTTTGGAATTGGCTGGCCCACGATTCGAGCCCAGCCAGGCCTACGATGTCAATTTCCCCCACCGTTCCGTTTCGCTGCATTTCCCGTTCACTTGCAAACCGTTCCCAACTCCGTTTCATTTCATCATATAAAAATAAAACTACGCAATCTTTCTATTTTCCGTCTCAGTTGCGTCTTTCCACTGCGTAAATGGAGGCGGAGAACACCACTGAAATCGCGAGGCCAAAGCCGGAAATCAACGCCGACGACAGGCTCAGCTCTCTGCCGGACGATGTCATCTCCCACATTCTCTCTTTCCTGCCAACCAAGTACGCCGTCGGAACCGCCGTCCTCAGCCGACGCTGGAAGGATCTCTGGGCTAGGGTTTCGAATCTCGATTTCGACAACTGCCTGGTTTACCAGCCACTGCCCGGGAACGTCGCCGTCCACAACTTGCCACCGGATGAACAGCGGATGCTTATGGAGGATCGAGAGAGGAAGCTCCTGGAATTCTCCCGCTTCGTCTACAAGGTTCTGAGCCTGCACAAGAGCCTCGATTCTGTAAGGCGTTTCCGCTTCCATTTTACAGTAGAGTATAGTAAAAGTGGAGTGTGTCCTGGTTTTCAGCTTGAGAGGGAATGGGTGTTTGGACCTCTAGTTGAGGAAATTGATATTCTGATTGAGGAGTTACCGTATTCAGGTCGCCAATGGATCCGCTGCCTTCCACAGAGCTTTTATACATTGAAGAATCTGAAAGTTGTGAAGCTTCATGGGGTTGTACTGAGTGCAGCACAAGGGTCGGTTCTTCTTCCTAGTGTGAAGACTTTACAGCTTTGTGAAGTTGAGTTTAGGGACTGCGAGTCAGTAAGCAGTCTCTTTTCTGGCTGCCCAGTTCTAGAGACGGCTCTTCTGGAGGGTGGCTGTTTATCGCACAGGAATGAGCAAGACGTACTCATTGTTTCCTTACCATCCTTGAAGAACTTGAAGATTATCCGATTTGGCAATTATGATAAGTGTCACATTGTAATCGAAGCACCAATACTTGAGGAACTTGAACTTCAAGATTTTGCGGATTTGGAGTTTGTGGGCAGTAGTCCTTTGGCATGCCTTCATTCAGCACATTTTGATATTGGTCCGTATCAAAGCTCGGATCTTTCACTGGATGGGGTACTCGATCAAATCTCCTATGCAAAGAAGATGTTCATATCTGGGGACACTCTGGTAATCAACACTTTCTCCCCTTTCTTCTCAATGGTCCACTCTTTTCTTCCCGATTGATCAATTGGTTGATAAGAACCGCTGATTTTCTTAAATCTTTGTTACAGCATCATCTGTCAGCTTTCGATCATGTTGAGTTTCCTGACTTTCCGAACTTGACACATTTGACAATCCAAACTGGGGCCAGCAGCTTGGTTCTGCTCTCTTTGCTCGATTCAGCCCCCAAATTACAATCTCTTGTCATTGACATGGTGAGTTCCATGTTCGCTTTGTTAATTGCAATCTTCCTTCCATAGTGTTTCATGATGAATATGTACATTAACAGGGGACTGCCACTCAAACAATGGGATTGGGGTGTGAGTTATTTGATCTTTGGACGCCCGAGTGTTTGTTATCCAGTCTCGAGGAAATCGAGGTCAAGGATCTTGTACCAAATGAAGATGACATGAAATTGGTAGCATACTTGCTCGAGGCTGGATCTGTCCTCAAGAAGGTAGATATGCACGTACAACATTATCATCTCGGCATAAAAGGCCGCAAAAGGCTTGCATCACTGCTAGAACTGCCTAGAGGATCCAGCTGTTGTGAAGCTCGTCTTTTACTTTCCAACAACGAGGAGATCTGCATCGATAGCAACGAAGAGGCCGACATTGACGATGATATGAATTTTGACGACTACAGTGACATTGAAGCCGAAATGGATGATGATGACGACTTTGATGATTTTGATGGCGACACGGATGATGACTGATGACATTGTTGACGAGACCAAGGACTAGGTCGACGAAGGATGATTGCTGCGAGTCTATGGATCTAACTGGTAGTGTAATTTTGAGTTAGCTGTCCCTTTTGAAGTAGTGGTTTGGCTGCATCATAGGATCCTTTGGTTGAAGAAAGACTGTTTCAATCTCTTTGTCTAGGTTATTTCAGCAGTTTGCTATGCTCTACAGTCAAGGACTCGAGGCTTTTGTGGATACACGTTTTCAGGTGGATTTTTTCAAAGCGGGATGCGGAAGATGCACTAATAGATATTATTAATCATTCTATAAGTAACAATCTCTATCAAATCTTAGTTTATCTAATGCCAAAGAGCTGTATCATTACAGTCAATCAGTCAAGTGCTAACCAAGAAGATAACCAGAGGAAAGGAATAATCACAGTTTAAGAAGTAAGCTTGGTTGCAACTTGCAAGTGTCAGAGTACTTGTGCATCCAATTTGGGGTAGGCCCACAATACGATTAGCCCGAATCTGTTACTTCTTCAAGAATGAGGCCCATGATTTGGGTCCATCCAGGCCCAAATTGTCAATTCCTCTCCGGGTTTATACCTTCTTCACTAGGGATGGCAACAAAACCCGAATCCACTTGTGGTTTTACGCTTTAAAATCAACAAATTGTTTCTACCTATAAATGCGTTTTTAACTAGATTGCTTCCTAGCTGAAAAGTACGACGGCCAAAGCCTGAAATGATAGAAATCACATGAAGGAGACCTTCAAACTTCGGCAAAAAGCCACTGAAAAACTAATGTCTGCGGCCATCTCTCAACCAATTAGGCTTTGTGGTAAAACCTGTTCAAATCGAAGCCAGTTGGCGCCTATAATGAACATTCCTTACAACTATGTATTGAATCATTACTATATATATGCAGCTAATTACATAACTTGATCCTTACTCAACAAGCAATTCATCTTCACCCGGCTCTCTTCCTACGATCAAAGCATATGCACCACCTCCAGCATCAAAATACCAAAACCATGGCCTGTGTATCTCTGACCATCCACAATGCAACTTGTTGAGAAACCTTTCGATTACCAGCTGCTAGTTGCAGGGTAAGTTTCGACATGCCTTCTCCTTATCTTGTTCAAGTTTCAGAGAATCCAAAGCCCCAGTTACACCTGTGACTTGATCTTGCTTCAAACCAGCGTTGTTGTTGCTGTTGTCGCTACCACCTTTATGTTTATGATTACTCAAGCTGCGAAGGCCTGATGAAACCTTGGACTTCTTCCCTTGATTGGCGTTTTGACTAATCTCAGCACATCCAGTTTCTCGATTCAAGCGCTTAGTGCCTAATTTTACTTCTAGCTTTTCAACTGCAGAAAATCTGTTCATATTTGGGAACAAGATTTGTAATATCTCCTCAGTGCTCTGCCTGATGCTCATATCAACTAGAATGGTACCTGTACATTGTGGTGCTGAAAACTTTTCTTCCAAGCTGACAATCACAATAGGGTTGCCAACCATTCCCAAGGCTTCAGATAGCAAGTTGAGGGAGTTGTCTTTCTTTCTCTTCATAAGGATATGCCGAATTTCTTTAGGAATCTGTTCAGTGATATGTTTCCAACTCAGCAATTCAAAGAGCAATTCCGCTCCCAATCCAAAGTTCAGATACACCAAACAAGCAATTGCAAACAACCTCAGCACCACAAACCCATAATCATCCTTAACCCTGGACTGTGTTTTTCTTATCCAGTCCGTGGTATCCGTCTTGCTGTAGAGAAATTCCCTGGTCACTCTGGCAATGAATTCAATCATGGCCCGCATGGATTCTGGTTCTCGACGATTCAAACTGATACTTGGGTTCCCAACACCTTCCCTGAAGAGGATCCATTCAACACAGCAAGACTGGGAGGTAATAAACCGCCCCTTGTATGATGACAACAGTATCAACAGGAGCTCAACAAGGTATAAGAAACATCCAGGTGAAACTAACTCATCTTCTTTATCCCTCTTGATGGCATCATAGGCACTTCTTAAAGCTCCATGCAAAGCTCTTTCCACTGATAGCTTGCCAGGTACATCTTCATATCCTGGAGGCCGACCTAAACTTTCTATCAAAGCCTTCCACGATAAATTCCACCTTACAGCATCACTCATTTTCTCGGGTAATCTACAATAGCGCTTACCAGACCCAAGAATTGTCATAGCTATCTTTCCTATTTGATGACAAGACAGCTTTCCCTCTACTATGTTGCTGTTTCCAAAAGTAGCATCTCTGAGAAAGCTCTTCCAACGATGAGTTCTTCTCAAAGTGACGACATCCTCTTCCAATGACTCTCTCCAATCAAGGGGAAAAGTAGAGTCGAAGACATTAGCAGTTGAGAGTTCAATATATTTCTCCATTGCCTCAGATTCAAAGTAACACTTACGATCCTTAGCATCATGGACCAGCTTTTCCCAAATTGATGTCTTCTTTACCAGAGTTGCTGCATTGCCCAATATCCAGAGACAGTGTCTGCGGCAGAAAATGAAAATAGAAAGTTTAAAATAGAAGCCAACATATTTGAGGGCATGGAGAAAGATGGGAGCATAAGGAATAAAACTTTTAAAGCATTACCTTGCCCTGGTAAGAGCAACATTGGCTCTTTGAACATTTCTAAGGAAACCGATTGCTCCAGTTGCATTTGATCTCACAGTTGATAAAATTATTATATCTTCCTCTCCTCCTTGGAATCCATCTATCGACTTCACCTTCACTGAGAATCCATCAATTCCTTCACAATCTCTACCAAGTTTCTGTTGGATAACAGTCACTTGAGCAGCATATGGAGAGATCACACCGATGCTGAGATTCTTTTTGGAGCCACTCCACGCTGTGTATTCATAAAATAAGCAAAAGTAAGAGCAAAAAACTAACAGAGACAGTGCAGAAACAACAAGACATTTCCTGGAAGTTCAAAAGACCAAGAATTTCAAGCTCACAATTTTGCAGATTCTGAACTAATTTCAGCACAATGGCTGCCTCAGTCATATTCCTCTGGCTGCTCCCATCTAACTCTTCTGTACTATCGCTTATATTTATAAATGAGTAAGGACCAAACATTGGCCCAGGGAGGTAATGCTTTTCATAAGCTATGCTCTTCACATTTGCTCCATCTATGATATTTCCACGATAAAAAGCTGAATTTGGGAAACAACTAATTGATGGATGCATCCTGTATTGCGTTTTTAGGAGGTGCTTACGGTGCTCTAAAGAGCTTAACCTCTCAAATAAGCTTCTCCCAAAGCCAGCCTCACCAGCAGCCTATAAAATCCAAAAAGAATTTACAGAGGTCAGTTATCCAGAAAGATAAAATAATTTATAGAATTTATAAGGTCATTAAACTAGAGGCTAAAAGAAGAGAAGAAACAATTACTTCGCTTCGAACCATAGCAGGTAATTGACACTCATCACCGACGAGAATAACATGCCTAACACCAGAAAGCTGCAGAGGTATTGCTGATTCACATTCCTTTAGTTGTGCTGCTTCATCGATTATAACCATATCCAATGGTTTAATGTCAACTGAATGCAAATTATATGAAGTAGATGCAGTGCAGAAATATAGAGTAGCTCTTTGGTAACAGAAGGTCTTTACAGCTCCCCAATTCATAGATGTTGGGAAATCAATCTCTCTTAAAGATTTATACACCGCCGTTAAACAACCTATGCATTTACTCCTTTTCAAATTCAACAACAGAGCCAGATCGGAAAAACCACAGGAATAATCCACCGGTTCTGAAAAAAGCTTTTCCAGCTCCTCCGAGTTCATGTCATCGTGAGACAACAAAGTCTGAAAAGATCTGAGCAGCTCTGCAACAAGCGAGAGGTTTTCCTTTCTATCTCTTCCAATGTAATTCACAGGAATATCAGTGCAAAAGCAAATAAAAAATCTTCTCAGTGTTCCAGCAATTGAGTCGAACCGGACCCTGGCAAACTCTAAAAACGAATTCCACTTCTCTGTCCTCATATTAGCCTCACTGGAGAAGTCTACTTTTCTGTTTCTGTATCCAAGAGTTTTCTTCCTTTCTTGGATCTTTTTATTTTCCTCATGGAAACGAAGAACACAATTTTCAAGGAAGTCCAGGGTTGAATTGAGATGATGCTGCCAACCCGTTAGATGAGCAAAGCATTCTGCAAGTTTTTTAACCCGACAGTCCAGATATATTTCTTCAAGTTCTGAACTTAGTTTCAACCTATCCTTGTTGCCAAATAGCAGAATATCTGCTGATGAATAAGAAGAAGATCTAGATTCCTTGACCAACTTCAGAACTCTAGAGGCCACTTCTTTAATTGCAACATTTGTTGGAGCACAAGTTAAGGTCCTCCAATTCTTACTCAAGAGTGTAACCAGCAGATTACTAGTAGTGTTCGTTTTCCCTGTCCCAGGAGGACCCCAAATGAGCTGTACAGCAGAACTATGATAGCACTGAATCTTATAAAGACAAGCCAGAATCGCTTCATTTTGTGATTCATTTAAACTAGAAGGTAAATTTGTAAGGAATTCCCGATCAAGGCTTCCATCACTCAGATAAGTACACTTGGTGCAATTCTCAGTTACCTGAAGAATCAACCAACTTCAGTCAGATGTAAATATGAAAATTAAGCTTGATGAACTTAGTGGAGATTCATGACATGAACACCCGAATCCTTGTCTCATAATTCAAAACGAAGGAGATGGAATTTCCTTACCGCAGATTCAGCAGAGAGAACTTTCTTGATCATGTTCAAGTTCTCAGACGAGTGCAATGAGCTCCAGATTCTGCTATGGGGGAGCATATTTACCAAGAAAATCATAAAACATTGTTTCTTCATTCCAACCTCTTCCAAGTCTTTTGCAGTCTCAACCCTGAACTTCAAGCGTTCGCGATCTTCTTCATCGTCATCATGTCTTACGTAGGTCACCGATCCAAGAGTCCAGCGATAGTCCACCTTTCGCAAATCGAAAACAGATTCAGGCATACTGTGGACTACAAGCACAATATCTCCAGGCAAAGTTTTGTAAGTCTCATTGTCATCATCACGAGCCAAACCAAGGTTCTTCCAACCATCAACTTCGACATCGTACAATCTCAACCCATCAGGCTTGCAGTCCCTCAAAGAAACCACCTCGGCAAATGGTGCTTTCGAGACATCCCCTAAACTTGATTGCAACTGATATCGAGTTTCTTCAAGTAAAGGCTGGACATATGATCCGAGGTAATGCGCAGTGGATTCAAAAGTATGAGGAATCGGTTGTACCTATGAAAAAACGAAATACTCAGTTGTGGAACTTCTCAAAAACACTCTTGTAACTCTCTGAAAAGGGTTCTTCTTCCCATTAGCAGTGACTTAATAAGTTAGGAACGAGTTTCAACAGGGTAGAACCCTGAACCCAGTGTTTATTCAAGTGAAGCGGGAAATAGGGTTGCTGCACATAATACACAATTCCCATCCCTAGCAAACAATCCAAGTTCTTCACCAGAAACCCATCAAGAATGACAATGCCGTGGAGAGTAGAGAAAGTAAAAGAGAAGAAAAAAAACCTGTATCAGACGATCATTGAAGATGTCATCCAAGGACCAGGAAAACAAGATACTGATGAAATCACGACCAGAAGGAATTGCAGTGTGGGCTTGTGAACTCTGAGACCCTTCTTCCATCATCATCCTGCTTCTTCAAGATCTTCTGCATTCAAGCTTCTTCTGCAATCATTCAACCTCCTAAAGAGGAGGAGTGGGGTTTTCCTGCCGAGTAAAGCATTAAAGAGTTGAGTTTAATGGTTATGGACGTTCACCGGGAAACAGAATGGTGTACAGAAGATGCCGTTGCCTGGCTGGACTTGAAGGGAATAAAAACCTTTGGGCCAAGTAATTCATTTATAGGCCCATGATTCCTCACAAAGCCCATCAATTTTCAATCGACAAACAAAGCCCAAAGGCCCAGCCGCAACTGATCATCACTTCACTTCCTTTCTCTTTCACCATTCATCTCCTCCCTCTCTTATCTTCTTCTTCTTCTTCAAAATCCAGAACCCCTAATAAAATTGCAGCAAATCCTTCAGCAAAAAAATGGCCTGCAGCGCGGCAGTTAGCATCCACGCTCCGGCAGCGCTCTTCTTCTCTACCCAATTCCCGGCGAAACCCACTTCCAGTTTCCCCCGTTTCCCAGCGGTGTTTTTCGGCAACTCTGCCTCCTCCCTTTCCGGTCTCAATCTGATCGCTTCAGCTCCGGCAAGGTCGTCGTCTTCTTCTTCTGCAACCGCCCGCGCGACCAAGGCCAATCCCACGGGAGAACAGAAGTGGACCTACGAAGGCTCCGTGACCGAATCGCTTCCAAACGGTATGTTCCGAGTCCGTCTGGATAACGAGGATTTGATAATCGGGTATATTTCGGGGAAGATTCGGAAGAATTTCGTGAGGATATTGCCTGGGGATCGGGTTAGGGTTGAGGTGAGCCGGTACGATGTTAGCAGAGGTCGAATCATTTATAGACTGAGGAACAGAGATCCCAGCTCTGACTAAAAGACACCCCCAAACCCGGCCCTCTAATGTAGAGACAAACTATTCCTTTCTTTTTCTTCATTTTGGCTCGCCATAAGCTTCAATGAGGATTGTTCTTGTATAATGCTTCTGGGTTTCATGGAGAGTGTATGAAAGAGGATGAATTGGTGATCGTCATAAGGAAATTGAAGCTTTTTCTGAGAGTGTATTGTCAATTGGGTTTGTTTGTGTTTGCTGCATTGATCATTACCATGGGAATTCATAGCCTTGAACGATGCTGCTTCTCTCTAGTTGATAATCCAATCGATTTGTAGGCTTGCAGGCATTGCAGAATGACAAAAAAGAAATTGCAGTCAATAGTCTTGGATTAGTTAAGCTGATACTCTCTGCAAGAACGGTTGGTCTAAGTTTGTTCATGCCATCTTGTTACAGTTGAGAGGTGTCTTATGATGTTGTATTGCATCATATGCTCGAACCGGATATCGCATATCTTTCTTCTACGATCATAGTGTATCTCGTTTTCGCAGGACAATGCATTTGCTTCCCCTTTTAGGACAGGGTTAGGTTAAACAATCCAAGAGCATGAAGAAACATCCATCATATTGCTTCGAATACAAGAACTCTCATAGCATATGAGACTTGACAGAGATCTCGAGCATCAATTCAATACACTGATAGTTGGTTTTCTGTTGTGATTTTAATGGTCAAGTTAAATGATGAGGCTACGTGCCAAACCATAACTATGAGTTCATTGTCCCTTTTATGAGAATGTAGTTTGAACAATATTTATCTATGTTTGGAAAAGAATGCATGATAATTGTAGGATAGACCTTAAAAGTTCATAATCAAGTGTATTATGCATTGATTGCAACACTAAATGGGGGCTCAACATCAAATCGAGTTGTACTCTTTAAGGAAGCTCCTCCTCCAAGCAATGTCTATTAACAAAGCAATGGTAACAATAAGGATTTTGATCAATTATTCAGGTGACGCTGACAATTGCTATTGACAGACCATGTTGATGGATCCATCGTGATAATAGTATTTGCTACTAGTTTAGCATAGAAAGAATGGTGAGGCACAACCCCATTGGCTGAACAGAACGAAGCCCCTCCTCTCGTCGAACAACTATCTTATTGATTCGCCATTGCAATTTGCAAGAATGAAATGTGATAGTAAACTATAATTGTGAATTTGAAAATGGGTCATGGTGGAGATGATACTTAGAGGCAAAAGAGAATCATACTAGATGTACCTAATTGAAACTTGAAAGTGTGCCACAAACCTCCTCATGGTAAGAACCCATTTCCTAAATGTTTTGTCTATGAAACATTTGTGATCATGCCCCACAATGCATCTACCATCTACTCCAAAGTCCAAATCAAAGCCAATTCAAATCAAGTCCACAAACCCCATCTCTCTGGTCTCTATGCAGTTTTTATTGTATCATTTTCACCATGGCCCACTTCCACAAACTTACAAAAGTTCTATTCACTAACTTGCTGTACATATCCATAAACAATCACCTCCTACAACTTCCCACCTCCCCCAAAATACCTCTCTTCCCCAACAAAGCCTCTCTCTTTAAACAAAGGAGAAAACAAGATATCAAACACTCTCACACACAAGAACAACACATGATGAGTGGGTATTCCAAGATGAGCAAATCCATTGGAGACTCCAACCTCAAATCACCAGATTTCAATCCAATGGATCCCAATAACTCCCCACCATCCCCACAGCAACCCACCACAAATCCATCCATCATCCCCAGCTCCAACAAATCCCCATTGCAAGAGGAGGAACTAGCAGGGGAAAGACAGCAATCAGAGCTGCAGAATCTGCAGCAGCCCCAGCTGAGGAGGATCTCATCAGTTTCGGCCGCAGCGAGTCGGGTGAAGAAGAGAGCTCTGTCCTTCTCCACCATGAGGAGATCTTCCTCTGTCTCTGACAGGTACTGCAGGATCCATGACCAATCTGAGTTCTTGGCAGATGATGATGATCATCATCACCATGATCACATTGATGGTGATGGTGATGGATATGGGAAAGTGGGTTCAATGGCGGAAAATGCAGCAGCTGATCGTGGGTCTTCGAGATCTGATCACAAGAAGAAGCTTATGAGCAGAAGCAGGATCATCAGAGCCTGTAAGAAAATTTTGGGACTCTAAAATCATAAAAAAAGTTTCCATCTTTTCCGTTTTCTTTCTATTTTTTATTTCAATTACTCGATCTTACTTGTGGGCTGGTTCTGGTGATTTTTGGAGTTAAATTTTACATAAGTTTTGGTGATGATGTACTATAGAGTATATTTAAGTCTTTACCAGAGAATAAAATTGTGGATCTACTTTCGTTTTGGTCCTCTTTGACTTGGTGGTCACTAAAAACAAAGCTCACAGTTTATCTAACTGACATTGGAAAGACAATTGGACAGTCGGTCAATGTCTCAATGATATTCCCCACGTGAATGTACATAGAAAAATGATATGCCAAAATTTGAATCGAACTCATGATGGGATCATGATTCAAGCAGCGCACCTTTGAGGACGACAATGGTTGGACGGTCAACTGGAGTTTTTATTTTTTAGTGACCATATTTCCTCTTAATTGTCAAAATGTATCGAATTTGTCGTGAAACGGATGTGCGCAAAAGTTCAAATCTGTTGCTCAAAAACTTGCTGTTGAACACTCTAATTTTCGATAATGATTGATGCGCGTTAATACAACTAATTAAATGTGCGAATAATTTTTTTTATAACAGTAAATAGTAATAAATTTCGCATGAGAATAAGAGGAAACGACATTTTTTTTTTAACTTTCAAGGATAAAACATTAGGCGAGATAGGAATTTCGAGTATAAATACCAAGCTCGCACACAAGAAGAGCAACCAAAAAGTAAAGAGAACATTTACAAGGCAACAATATACAGTTTCTCGACAAGTGGACAAAGTCTAAAAATGATGAAGCGGTCACCTTTAGCGGTCGCGCTCGTCCTCATGATAAGCGTCCTTATATCCATCAAGCCGGTAGCATCGTCGTGTTACAAATATTACTATGGCCCAGCTTATCCGATGTCTCACCAGGAGGTGCAATTGGAGAAAAATCAACGGCTCGCTCGGTTTGCGGTGGATGAGCACAATAAAGTGCTCTCAGGTGCTCACCGGTTGAAGCTGGTCAGCGTAGAGGATGGTGCTTATTACCGCGTAGCACCTGATAAGGATTTTAAAAGTCTCAATATTATTGCATCCAACAGCTTCGGCCAAGCCAAGTACAGGGCCTTTGTCGCCGAACACTTAATGGCCTATGACGAACTTACCCTTGAATGCTTCGAGAAAATCTAGTTAAAAGATGGATGTGATTTGAAAGATTGTGTATGCAAACTTAGCATTGCGTAGCTATAGTCATAATAATGTTAATGTTTGAGCATCATACAAATTTATATACACTATGACTTCTATTGTACACCCGCTTGATTTCAAAATCACGGTGATGTTTTCATCATGAGAGAAATTCCATGTCGATCTTATATGACAAGAGCCCAAAAGACTCGGTTAACCGGATGAATATGAGGTTTCTTTCAAATGAAGTATGAAAGAAAAACCAATCAAAATGAAATATGAACCAGATCTAATCAAACCAAACGAACATAATCGATGCTATCTTGGTTCAGTCTGATTTTAGAATTTAGAGTGAATCAACTTATCCCCGTCCTACATGCGATTGATATTGACCTAGTTGGTTGCCATTGCATTTACCTTCTTTCTTGGATAAATGATGGTCATATGACTATGGGAATTGAGGATTCATAATAAATTATGAAGAGCTTAACAATTTGTATTGTCTGCGGGAACCAAGTCAGATTTGCATTTACCCAAAACAACGTATGGTATAAATTTATATCACCGAAATGGCATTGGCAACGTTTCTTTATGACTCGTTTAGAGAATTGGACTCTAAATCGCTAGATCTAAACAATCCAACAATTTTAACTCTCTGGATTGTTGAAAATAGATTTGAAAATGTTTATTGTTTGGTAACTGCAATTGTTAACATCCAATGAAAAAAGAAATTTTATTTTTTCTAGCAACTGACATGTTTATCCTTAACCAAAATAATTATACTAGCTCTAAAAATATTGAGAATTTATTGGTAAGGGTATTTAGTGAGATAAATGAAAAAAGGAAAAGATAGAGTAGGAGGGAGAAAATCTCCAAAATCAAGATATAGTTACTCTCTAATTATGATATTTGATATCTCTATATCTTAGAGATTTAAAATCTCTGAAGCTACAATCCACGATTAAAAAGTAGAAAAAACATAACATTTTACTAACTCTATAGATTCAATAAATCCATGATCCAAATCTTGTTCTCCAAACGACTTCGGTATATAGTCGTTTACCATTAAGTTACTTTACCTTGAACGTATGCACGTTTTTATTAGGCACATTTAGTAATAAAGATAACATATCAATGATAGTCGTTGTTGATTGATCAAAGAATTTTATTTCGTATAGCATATTTTACTATCATCATGTTTGATTCGAATCGGTTCAGTTTTATTATGATCGTAATCTTTTTTTTTTTCTCCCTTTATTTTAAGAGAACGCATGAATTGGAAATAAACCAAATTGTTTATTCAACCATGGGCCGGGAAATGCTGGTGATAAGGTGGGCCGGGCCTGATCACGAACCAGCAACGGTTCCCTTCAAGTTTGGGCCGAGTAATATGCCGTTTTCTATCTTCTTTTGAATCGAATAACAACCGTCGAGAATCGCAGTCCTGAAAATCCAACGGCGTAGAACGATTTATTCGCGTCTGAAGAAACCGTTGCCGGCGGCGGAGGAGAAGAACCGGCGGCGAGAGGATTCGGGAGATGGCAGATTTGCTGAAGATCTTCTTCTTATTAAAACCCGAGAAATTCCGGCAGAGCAATTATATTATTTTAGCGAAAACGGGAAGAAATAAATCAAAATAAATAAGGGGCTGTGCGGTCACTTAGTAAGCGCAGAATCAGGAACGATTCATAATAAATACTCTAATTCCCTTTTTTTTCCTTGAGATATATCATCATTAATTTTAATTAATAGCTAATTACGTTCCCGGAAACCCGGGGATTAGTGAAAAGAGAAGGAAAAAGGAACAAAAAATTAATAATAATTCTGATAACAACAAGAAGAAAAAAATAATAATTTATATTGACTTTGTTCTTCCCCAAATTCAGTCTTTCTTCTTCTTCTTCTTTTCCTGTTCTTTCTTCTCTTTCTTTTTCCTTCTCCTTTTCAACGATTTATTCCCCTTTTGTTTATTATTATTATTATTATTAGGGAGCAGAGTTGAGAAACATTTTTGTTTGTGCCCAGAAGAAGGTGGGTTGGATTTTTTGGAGCACTGTAGATTTTGATCATGGAAAAGGGGATTTTTGAAATGGGTTTTGGCGGTTAATTTCTGGGTATTATTTGGATTCACAGATTGACCGGAGGAGGAAGAGGATCGCGGTTGGGCCACTGAGTTGCGAGCAATGAGTCAGGAACTCAGTGGGCGGATCAGCAGCAGCGCCGTGGATTGTAATCAGAAAGCGGTTTCGGTTTCTTCTTCCGCCGCTACGGGGGAAGATTCGGCTTCGGGTTCGGCGGCTTCGTCGCCGACGAGCAGGGTCAAGTTTCTATGCAGCCATGGTGGGAAGATTATGCTGAGGCCTCCTGACGGTCTCCTGAAGTACGTCGGCGGCGAGACTCGTGTCATTGCAGTACCGCGTGATATACGCTTCTCAGGTTTGCCCTCTTCTTGTTCGATAAAATGCCCCAAAGGGCTATTTTCTTTTCCGTTTCTGTCTTGGATGCAGGAACAAAGAACCAACTAAAATTTTATTCTTTCCTTTTGGTTTCTGTAATGGGTCCTGACTCCTGACCTCTGGCATGAATTAAGCAATTGAAGCTTTTCACTCCGTTGAGAAATGAACGCCATGATTCAATTCTAGCCGAAATTACCAGATTGATTACTGCAATTTTCAAAACCCTACTTCGTCTCCTGCAGCATTGTCATTTGAGATGTAAAATGGTTGGACTTTTTAGTGATTTGCAATGGGCCTTTCCTGCTTGCATGGACTACTTTGTATCCTGTGGCTGTGGCTGAAAATCATCTTTAGTTTTCTTGATAAATTTGGCCTTCAATGGGTACTAAAGTTGCTAGCTAGCATTTGCTTGGGCAACCCTCTGGAATGAGAATGTTATGCTTGAAATGATCATACTAACGGTTCTCTAATGGTGTTTCACACCATTGCAGACCTGATGAAGAAGCTGAAAGCAGAATTTGAAAGTGACGTGGTGCTCAAATACCAGGTTGTGCCAGAAGATCTCGACATACTGGTCTCTGTACGAAACGATGAAGATCTAAAGCACATGCTAGAGGAATACTACCGCCACGAGAGCGAAGGGATAACAAAGTTCCGAGCTTTCTTGTTCCCATCCAACCCAAGCCTCCTCGACTCACAAGCACCCATCTCTTCCGATCCACATGCAGCTGAGCAACGGTACATGGAGGCAGTCAACGGCTCCACGTATCATCGATCGGGATTCCACAATTCAAGACAGCCCTCGACCCTTGGCCGCCCGACATTCAGCATATCCGCTTGCAACTCTCCCAACTGCGGTTCTCCAGAGAGCAACCGCAGCGAACCAGTGTCTCCTGAACCCGGAAATTTCATGATGAGCAGCAACAACCCACTCAGCGGCAAACATTCAATGTCCAGAGTCCACAGCTCTCCTAGTCTCTGCAGTTTGAACAGCTACCAACAACAGCAGCAGAGTAACAGCAGCAGCAGCAGCAACATGGGAAGCAATCATCATCAGATTTACAGACCTTATCCGCACTACTACCACCAGCAACAGCAACAACAACTCCACCATCCTCATAGCTACCAACAACATCATTTGAAGCCTCCGTCGCATGATCCTCATAGGCTGTCCCCAGGGTTGTCACGACACGATATGGTTAGAGGCCCTTCTTCATCTTCTGCTATAAATGCTCATCATCAGTACTATTCAAACAGCAGGCATAACAACAACGTGGGAATGGGAGTTGCTGGGAACAAGTATGGATACCAGGATGAGCATAATGGTTATTCGCCTGCGTATAATAGAAACTTTGACAGAATGGATAGTCTTCGTTCGAGTAGCAGAATGGGAGTCGACAGAGGTGACATGAGCTAACCAATGGCTTCTTTCGTGTTCTCCTGTTCTCCCAACTCCATTTTGACTCTCCATTTTCAGGTTTTTTTGTCTCAACTTCCTACTATTATACAAATCTTGTTTTCACTGTACAGACGGAGCACATATTTTAAGTTCATTACTATGTAAGCAAAGCCATGCTGCCTAGAACCTATATTATTGTAAGCATCAGAACTGTGGTAAAAAGAAAAACTTGTACTGGTTCAGTATTTGTATTTCCTCTGTTTCTGCTGTGCTTTCAAATTTCAAGCTGTGGCTTGCCAAAAGGGCTTCTACTACAGCAACTCCATTGTCAGTTCTTTTCGATTACGTGGTCGTGAAGTAACCTTTCTCTAGTTAAAACGGACTTTTGTTACTTGAAACTTCAAAGGGATAGTCGGCTTTCCTAGCCTTGCTGGTTGCTCACAAATCTGGTCTAGTGAACCAATTGGCGTCAGGCTAACTAAATTTCAAGGTGGAAGTTACAAGCTATCAGCTTTCTTTTTTGTCAACTTTAAGTACAGCAGAAGTTAGGGTTCAGAAGGATATATGAGGTCGACTAGGAGATGGACGACAACATCTCGCGTGTCACTCCTCTGGACTTCAATTCAACGTAACCTTCCTGAACTGTTGATGTCTCCTCGTCTATTCAACCATGGAAAAACACAAGAGAATCGACTAAAGAACATCTAGCTTAAGACAAATGTCAGCACGCAACCACGATGAAATGAATGAGCAGAGCATCCCCCTCAGGCTTCAGCTCACAATCAACCAAGACAGATAAGTTAAGCACTTTCTCCATTCGAGACATCTAATTTCAGTTCACTATATTGCATTACTCCGATCAGTCACCATGCCTTTCAGATTATTCACACTAGTAACAATATATATATGTCATACACAAAGTGTGATGGGGCATTTTGGTACAGAAAACCCTAATAATACAGCTAATACTCTGGGAACCAAAAACTCGGACAAGCAACAAACATGGAAGCACAACCGAAAAAGGATTGGGCGAAAAACGAGTGCCTCGTAACCATTTGACCCGCATGGACAATGACACAGGATGGGGCAGATAGATGATGGTGTAATTGCTTAGGATTAGGAGTGGAGAGCCATAAATAAGTTGTGCTTACGAGCATGCTCTGGTATTAGCTTGTTCACCATATCAGTAGGAATCCCCGATAACTCTGCCAAAAACACCATCTGACTGTTAAAAACAAGGACTACCCTGGAAATGTGGGAATCTACATAAACACCGGTATTTCGCTACATCGTTGTTACCTTGGGGTTTAAAGTTGAACAATGGAGGAAGAGGGCGGCCGTTGGGGAGGCGTGTGCTTGGATCTCTTAGTTCATCAAAGAAAGGATGAATGTATGCTTCCAGCTGTTAGTGGCCGCATTTTACACGGACCAAAAATGAACGATTGAGTGATGACTGCCTCATAAGTCTATCGTCAGATACATACATACTTATATATATGGTATCGAAGGAAATATTAGAACTTACAGCTGTGCAGCGGAGATTGGGAGAATACTGAAAGAACCTGCACAAAAGATCGACTGCTTCTGGAGGTAACCGTTTTTGGAACACCTGTTACATCATGATGATGTCATGTCAGCCTCACATGAAAATCCACAAAGTAAAGAATTTGGAACTAGTATTCAGCTTCATGAGCAGAATATGCCATACCTTGTGCCATGGATGAGGTTTTATCTGTGGGAACTTAAATTCAGTGTAGTTTGGATTCATGCACTTTATCTCTTCCCGGGTTGGTGTTCCTAGAACCTAGAAGACAATATCGCACTTTAAAGAGGACTCTTTTACAGCAAAGATGCAGCTCTGATACACTGGAAGTAAGCGGAAAAATAATATCACCTTAATGATCTCAACTAGTTGATCTACTCCACTTTCACCAGGAAACAATGGCTGCATGACAGAACAGGACAGCCAAGTATGGGGTTAATAATGTCAATTAGGATCCTAAAGAACAGAGTTAGCAGATCTTCAACTTTACCTGTCCAAGGAGCAATTCAGCCATCACACAACCAGTGGACCATATATCGATGGCAGTTGTGTACTCAGTGGCACCAAATATGAGTTCTGGGGCACGATAGTATCGTGAGCAGATGTAGGAGACATTGGCTTCTCCTTTCACCTGATGAAATGGTGAGAATGAAGCACAGTAACCAGAAAGAAACATAAGTATTATCATAGATCAGATCAGTCAACTCACTAGCACTTTTGCACTTCCGAAATCACAAAGCTTCAACTGATGAGTGTGTGGATTCACCTGAACGAAGAGCAACCAGCTTTTAAGTCGAGTGATATTAACCATGCATGACAGCATGAGCAACTCGAGTCAAGTGCCACCATCAAAGGTAATAGAAATCCTGACTAGACATCCCTCATAAACCCACACAGACCAGAATATTCACAATGTCAGGATACAAACTAAAATTGAAAGCTAGTCTTCTACCATGAAATTCTGTAGAACCGACTCTCAGTCTCGAATCCAGAAATATTCTAAAGCTAACAACTTAATTTGGTATAATGTGCTCTCTTCTCCTCAGAAATCACAACCCAATTATTTCTTATGACATTCATGCAATGGAGAATGCTTAACAGAAAACAAAAGAGTTTATTTACCAATAGGTTTTGAGGCTTGATGTCACGATGACAGATACCAATGCAATTGTGCATATACGCGAGTGCCCTGCAGATCTGATCCAACAAAACATGGTTAAAGAAGTTCAAGGACAAAGGTATCGATAGATCACACTGTATAACTAGATAGTTGCACTCAAGTTCAAATGACAGGTTTATGTAAACTGAAAACAGTAAGTGCAAACATTGGAAACTCCATAAATTTCAGACACGGTATTATGAATTCCAAGCCACCTCCAAAATGAAAGGCGCTATTATTTCTCTGCACCTGGTATGTGTACAGCTTCACATAGATTAATGGCATTCGCTGGTTGACCCTGTTGTAGTTTCTTGCTATACGATTCAGAGTTTCAGGAACATATTCCAGTACAAGATTAAGGTAAAGCTCTTCCTTGTCAGTAGTTGAGAAAAATGAGTGCTTGAGGCCCACAATATTTGGGTGATCCAGCATTTGCATTATCTGTAACTCCCTGTTCTTATAACGTTTGTCCTGAAGAACTTTCTTGATAGCAACAATCTCCCCAGTTTCCCTACATTTTGCCTGAAATTGAAATTAAAAGACTGTTATTAACTAATGCAACCTATCTAGTTTGATGACTGGGGTTAAAACTTGAGAGGAAAGAGACCGTTAAGTCACTTTGATGAGTGTGTCTACTTACTTGAAAGACAGTACCGAAAGAACCAGTTCCAACCACATGCTCTGCTATATAATTTATCGACTGTCATCCCAAACAGGCAGATGAGTTATCATCTTTAGTAGAATATGAATCATCAAATATGTCAAATCATCACTGAGAATTACAGAATAAGCTCTCAACCTGCCTAGATTGACCATTTCGACCACCCACAGTGGTTCCTATGACATGTCCTGCTTCTGCACCCACACCATCAATTATGTCAGGTTCACTATCCTGCAAGAAGGAATCCAGTTACACCAAAGAACACGAACTGGTCATGCTTCAAGCAATCACTTCTGACCCAAGTGTGCATTCGCCAGGATCGATGATAAAGAGTCACTTCAATCATTTTTACGAATGAAATAGTTAATGTAAAGAGGGATTTCAAGACAGATGCATCCACTCACCCTATCATCATCATGGTCCACCTTATCCCTCAACCGCATCTCATGCATCTCTCTGCCCAGCCAATCAACAGAACTCGATGAACTCTTGAACCCATTTTTGACAGACCTTGAGCTCCCAACTCCCCCGTTGCCAAGGCTAGCAGACGCCATAATATCACCACAAGTATCAAACTTTTTGATCGTCTAGACGCACCAGTTTCATTCTAGTACATTTGCTCTTTCTTCCATCCACATCCCAGCAGCTATTATTTCCTAATAAGAACCCCCGATTCCGGAGCCTGGATATGGAAATCAATCACATAGCAGAAATCAATACCCTCTTCTTCCTCTGAAAAGCAAAATCCAGAGAGCACCCCCAAATCATCTGCAGCTAAAGAGCGGATCAAACGCAGAAAAACCCACTCTCAATTTCAGACAAAATGGTCAGCCAGTAGCGGGACAGGAGGAGGCTTCACCTGAAGATGGGCCACAAGGATGCGGGGAGAATGGATCCGGGCTTAGATGAAGCAGTTGCGTCGAGGCGGCAACGATGAAGTCGGCGGAAAAGGGGACGGAGAAAGAAGGCAGCAAGGTGGAGGCTTTCGTCCCTTGGACTTGATTGGAAGATGGGACCGTCGGCGACGAGGCGAGGTCGGAGCAGGTGAGCAGAGGTTTTCCCCCTTGCGAAGCGACACCAAGTTGCAGCAGCAGCAGATGTGGATGGGAAAATGTCTTCTTCTGAGTCAAAGATTATTCTCTTTCCTGTTTAGAGGTTGGCACTTGGCACTTCGCAGGGGACCAATTTTGCTATCCTCCATCCAGGTGTCTGGAGCCGTTGGATCGGGTTTGGACGATCTGCGATGATTGGATGGACGTAATAAATTTATTACGTCCATCTAATAATCAGAGATGACTTCTCACAAATTTGTATGTGAGCATCATAATCGAAATGAATAGGAACTCGAACAGAACTAACTTTTTGCTAATATCTAGTAAGGCTCATTCGTTAAAGTGAGTGAGGTACTAGTTCAGTGAGTGCCATAGTGGCTAGAGCCATTGGTTTTTAAGGATGTGATTCGTGAAACTATCACTTTTTAACAGACAAGTTAGGAGTAGTCGATAATCGCACTCAGTTGAAAGTTTTCATTATCCTCGCTCAAAAAATATACCACACAAAGATATTGCATGATTAAATTAAAGTGAACATGATAAATTGAACTCTTTAATAGATAAATCTCACAAACTCTCACGAGAAATTCTTTTACTCGTCTATTAACCACAGGATTCGATTCACTCATAGCGTTAGAAAAGAAGAATGTGTCATTTTGGGTCCACCAAAAGAAAGTTATATTTCATAAAACCTCTAAACAAGAACTCTATGCTCAAATCATTTGAACCAAATACATGAACCAGGTATATGGTCTTGATTGATTGCAACACTTGCTATTATTTGAGATTCTCATGTCCCTTACCTAATTAGTAGTAGACAATTAGTACATTATGGCCTATGGGTTTGGTGTATTCCTCCTGTTTAGGCAGAATACTCTTTTGTTCTCATTGCCTCATTGGCACATTATTAATGCTAATGTAGTCATGTTTATCCCCTCATAGGACAAAAAACCAAGAAAATGAAGGACTACATAAAAATACGATCTATATATGGAGTCTGATCGAACTGTTAAATTCTCAAGTTAAGATCTTTTATTAGCTAAAGCGAATCGAAATCTTTAAAAAGACTCAACTCTAGAATGGACAGGATAACGCGTCGACTCATTTCTACTATCTTCTAATATATGGTTCTTAGGTCAATTTACCACAACCAACCAAATGCCTATGCTTTTTTATTTCAAATTTCAATCCTAAGAAAAAGGGTCCTCTACTGACTATTGAATCTGCACCATGAAACTATTTACAAAAGCTTATCTTCTTTTTCTCACTTCACGTCATGCGCATTGATGAGTTTCATGAGCATGGGAGCACCCACCATAATAATACCCTGTTTTCCCTTTCTTTGCAGGCCTGCTATTTGACTATGGAGGAGCAAGGAAAGACTTAATACAATAGTTAATATCATTTCCATGGCAGTAGACTTTGACTGGTACGATAATACAACAACTACTTTGTCAATGAATGGACCTTTGAACAAGTCTAATTGCTGTTACTTTGCTGCCCTTACTCAAACAGAAGACTCCAAGATGTCAATGGCAGTCAACCTTGGCAATCTCGAAGTTCTTGCTTCCAGACAACAACACTGAGACAAAAAAAAACACCCCTCGGGCTTTGACTTTCGATGAAACAAACAAGAAAATTTCATCAATGATGTCTCTATTTCACAGTAAACTGTACGATGACTCAATGGCGCGTCGAGAAGCTGTTGCAGGAAGTGGCTTTAGATTCCAATGGCGTCTAGCAGCTGGTTGTGTTGAGCCACTGAGACGAGGGAGTTGGCAACAATGGCACCACTAGCAGCAACTGCGGGGACTCCGATCCCAGGAAACGTGGAGTCCCCACAGCAGTAAAGCTGAGATATGGGAGTAGAGTGTCCAGGAAATGTGCCCTTACCAGCTTCGATTGCAGGTCCATAGGTCCCTCTGTTCCTCCTGAGGAATCTCTTATGTGTCAATGGAGTTCCAATCAGCTTCACCTCGAGTTTCTCTCGATCGAATCCTGGACCCAGAGCACGCTCCACGGCTTTCCACATCACCTGTTATCAGAGGAAAAAAATCACCAGGATAGGGTCACTTCAGTGGGACAAACCAGGATGTATCAGAATTATGCACAAGGCCACCATTCCCTAGTAGTACTTAAATCAACTATTAATATGTGGAGACGCTCCAAAAACCATGTCAATAACTAGGTCATCGCCATGATCTGATACAACATTTCTTTCCACCCAACAACAAACATCAATTCACTTTGGATTGGATAAACCATCATGTTTCATGCCTCTGATCTCTCCTGTTTGAGCTGCTTGTATTCATTGCTTTTGGGGTCCAGCCCTTCCCACAGCTCAAATGGCTCAGTTCCAGGGGTATAGGCATGCAAGACATGCTTCCCTGGAGGAGCCAAGTCTGGACTGAGAACGCTAGGAACTGATATAAGAACCACGTTCTGGTCCGCATCCACTCCCCTCTCCCAATCATTCACGACTATGTGATGAATTCCCAGATCATCTCGCAAACCCTGCGCCCATCAAAATTGAGTGAAACAAAGAACTTAGCAACCAAACAGTCGGGGAAGTTTCATTTCATTAACCAAGTGGAGAGTCTACTCACAGTTGCATCAAAGCCTAAGTGGAGATGCATGAACGATTCACACTGAGGTGTGGTGTTGATCCTGTCTACATATGACTTTGGAAGTGTTTCTTTAGGCAACAAACTGGCAGTGTCCCACATAGACGCGTTGCTTATCACGGCTTTCCTTGCTCGCACAAACTGCATTTGCGCATTCGAGTTATCATCAACGTGGATAGCTAGGTATGCAAGTCGAGGCCAAACCCACTACTAACTTACCTAGTACTTACTTGGCCACTTCTAAGCTCAACCCCGATAGCCCTATTGTTTTCCACGACTATCTTGTTGACATGGCTTCTTAAAGAGATACGCCCACCAAACTTCTCAAGCCCACGTACAAGGGCTTCCACGATAGCCCCACTACCATGAATGGGGTAGTCAAGGCTACAACCTGGTTTGTACCATTCTGCAAACATGTAAATCTGAAAGAAGGAACTTTTTTAGTTACGGAGGAAGAGGGCAAGCAACGATCCTATAAACCCATATGTAAATCTGAAAGAAGCTTGGAACTTGGAATGGTTACCATCTCTGCTGAGAGTACACCAGTAGATTTGACCCCGGCTAGAAGGAAAGACAAAAGATCCACCCAATTTCGGACGAAAGGATCTTTCAGTTCTAGGGAGTCGACAATCTCTGAGAAGGGTCTGAGAAGCTTAGTTGCACCAAAGGCTCCCCGAGGACCCATCTCAGCAAAAGATTTTAATAGAGAAGGTGCATATCTAGCTGCAGCAGTTGACAGAACACCGAGATCACCTCGAATGGATAAGGGTGGCAGGGCCATTGCAGCTGCTGATAATGGAAGTATAGCGTCCTGCAAGCATATTGTTTTTTCAGGTCGAGAATGTACTCATCCTTAAATTCCCCACAAACAAAACTAACAACAGTCACTCACAAGAAGTTTCTTCCATTCTTGAACTGCATTAGGGCCTGCATGCTTTTCAAGATCCTGAAGGACAATTCAAAAGCATCCATAATTCACAAGGGGCTCTATAAGTACACACCATATATCAGAAATGAAAACGGAAGGATCATGCAAAGAGTTATATCAATCAGTGGCATTGTTATCAAGTCAACTAAGAACACCTTATAGAATTCTGTCGGCCCAATACGTGACAAGAACTCGCCTTCAGGAACATACACCATCCAGGAGTCGTAACTTGAGCATGGAACTGATTCACCCAATGCGTCAAGAACCTTTCGGAGGAACATAAACACCGAATTACGAAACTAATCAAAACCTAACCAAGGAATTGCTTGGAAAATCTATATTTGTGATGTAGCTTTGTACCTGTGCAAGAGGGTTAGCCTGAAGACCTTTGGACTGAAATCCAGAGAACAAGGACGGACCAGAATCGAACTTGTAGCCCTTTATCTCAAAGGAATGGGCAGCTCCACCAGGCTGATCATGGCTTTCCAGCACCACAACATCCTGCCCGTATCTAGCAAGAAGTCCAGCACAACACAGCCCACCGATCCCACTCCCAATTACCACCACATCCGCCTCCGCCTTCCCTGAATACAAAACCCAATTCTTAGTTCTTAATAATTGTTCAGAATCTCATATCACACAACTATCACAAAGCCGGAAAAAATGCCATAAGTGGAGAAGTAATGTCTGCCATCAACAACAACCAGTTCCTCACAATAGCCCGAAAGCTTGATTGTATACCACTCACTCCTCCATCCACCTCTCAAAAAAATACCTGGGAATGCCTTCTTGTCATTGAGAGAGAGAGAGCCGTTGGAAGAGGAAGGAGGGTTTTGTTGACCGTTAGAGCTTCGCGCCAAAACTGCTGCCGTTCTTCTGGCGGGTGCTTTGGAGATGGAAGAGATGCGAGGATTGGACTTGCATTGGTGGAAGCAAGCCGCCTGGAATACCGAAGCAGCCATCGGCAATCAAGGACATGAACAGGGTCGAAGGAGAAACGGAATTTGATAGCAAGACATGGCGAGGGAGACGATGAAACCATTTGGCCATAAGAGCTTTGGGTTTCTTTCGTTTCCTCGCCACCAGAACATGTGTAGTTCTGAAACTGTCCACGTTATCACCTCATCGCACCACTTCCCTACTCCGAACATTCCAAACCGGTTCGGATCGTTGATTCGGTTGGAAAAGAATTTGGTTCATTTAGCCCGATTCGTCGAAACTGGCCGGTTTCCTAGCACACGCAGAGTCTCCTAGCACACGCAACATGTATTACCCCTTTGGAATCTGTCAAAACTTGACCCGGAATAAATCCGTCCAAAATCGGTGCTTAATGGACTCAATCATCGTTAGAGAATAGCCTCAGGCTGAATCAGTGATATGTAGCCTTCAATATCCAAAGAAAATGGTCTTTCGTCGCCCAAAAAATGACGAAAATGTCATAAGAAAATAAATTGGCCCAAATCGATACTTAACGGACTTATCATTCGTGGAGAATAGGATCAATAGACTTCATTATCGATGGAGAATAGCCTCGGCCTGATTACGTGATCTGTAGCCTCCAGAATCGAAAGAAAATGGCATTTCGGATAAATCGCCCGAAATCTGTGATGGTACCACTTTGGAAGCTGCCAAAAATTGACCCGGAATAAATCAGCCCAAATCGGTGCTTAATGGACTCAATCATAGTTGGAGAATAGCCTCAGGCCGAATTCGTGATCTGTAGCCTTCAATATCCAAAGAAAATGGCCTTTCGTCGCCCAAGAAATTACGAAAATGTCATCCGAAAATAAATTGGCCCAAAGCGATGCTTAACCGACTTATCATCCGTGGAGAACAAGATCAATAGACTTCATTATCGGTGGAGAATAGCCTCGGCCTGATTCCGTGATCTGTAGCCTCCAGAATCGAAAGAAAATGGCATTTTGGATAAATTCGCCCGAAATCTGTGATGGTACCCCTTTGGAATCTGCCAAAAATCGACCCGGAATAAATCTTCCCAAATCGGTGCTTAATGGACTTAATCATCGTTGAAGAATAGCCTCAGGCCGAATCCGTGATCTGTAGCCTTCAATATCCAAAGAAAATGGTCTTTCGTCGCCCAAGAAATTACAAAAATGCCATCCGAAAATAAATTGGCCAAATCGATGCTTAGCGGACTTATCATCCGTGGAGAATAAGATCAATAGACTTCATTATCGGTGGAGAATAGCTTCGGCCTGATTCCGTGATCTGTAGCCTCCAGAATCGAAAGAAAATGGCATTTCGGATAAATCGCCCGAAATCTGTGACGGTACCCTTTGAAATCTGCCAAAAATCGACCCGAAATAAATTCACCCAAATCGGTGCTTAATGGACTCAATCATCGTTGGAGAATAGCCTCTGGCCAAATCCGTGATCTGTAGCCTTCAATATCCAAAGAAAATGGTCTTTCTTCGCCCAAGAAATTACGAAAATGTCATTCGAAAATAAATTGGACCAAATCGATGCTTAATGGACTTATCATCCCTGGAGAATAGGATCAATAGACTTCATTATCGGTGGAGAATAGCCTCGGCCTAATTTCGTGATCTGTAGCCTCCAGAATCGAAAGAAAATGGCATTTCGGATAAATTCGCCCGAAATCTGTGATAGTACCCCTTTGGAATCTGCCAAAAATTGACTCGGAATAAATCCGCCCAAATCGGTGCTTAATGGACTCAATCATCGTTGGAGAATTGCCTCATGCCGAATCCCTGATCTTTAACCTTCAATATCCAATGAAAATGGCCTTTCGTCGCCCCAGAAATTACAAAAATGCCATCCGAAAATAAATTTGCCCAAATCGATGCTTAACGGACTTATCATCCGTGGAGAATGGGATCAATATACTTCATTATCGGTGGAGAAAAGCCTCGGCCTGATTCCGTGATCTATAGCCTCCAGAATCGAAAGAAAATGGCATTTCGGATAAATCGCCCGAAATCTGTGATGGTGTACCCCTTTGGAATCTGCCAAAATTGACTCGGAATAAATCAGCCCAAATCGGTGCTTAATGGACTCAATCATCGTTGGAGAATAGCCTCATGCCGAATCCGTGATCTGTAGCCTTCAATATCCAAAGAAAATGGCCTTTCATCGCCCAAGAAATTACGAAAATGTCATCCGAAAATAAATTTGCCCAAATCGATTCTTAACGGACTTATCATCCGTGGAGAATAGGATCAATAGACTTCATTATCGGTGGAGAATAGCCTCGGCCTGATTCCATGATCAGTAGCCTACCGAATCGAAAGAAAATGGCATTTCGGATAAATCGCCCAAAATCTGTGATAGTACCCCATTGGAATCTGCCAAAAATTGACAGGGAATAAATCCGCCCAAATCGGTGCTTAATGGACTCAATCATCGTTGGAGAATAGCCTCGGGCCGAATCCGTGATATGTATCCTTCAATATCCAAAGAAAATGGCCTTTCGTCGCCCAAGAAATTACGAAAATGCTATACGAAAATAAATTGGCCCAAATCGATGCTTAACAGACTTATCATCAGTGGAGAATAGGATCAATAGACTTCATTATCGGTGGAGAATAGCCTCGGCCTGATTCCGTGATCTGTAGCCTCAAGAATCGAAAGAAAATGGCATTTCGGATAAATCGCACGAAATCTGTGATGGTACCCCTTTGGAATCTGCCAAAAATTGACCCGGAAGAAATCCACCAAATCGGTGCTTAATGGACTCAATCATCGTTGGAGAATAGCCTCAGGGCGAATCCGTGATCTGTAACCTTCAATATCCAAAGAAAATGGCATTTCGTCGACCAAGAAATTACGAAAAATGTCATCCGAAAATAAATTGGCTCAAATCGATGCTTAACGAACTTATCATCCGTTGAGAATGGGATCAATAGACTTCATTATCGGTGGAGAATAGCCTCAGCCTGATTCCGTGATGTATAGCCTCCAGAATCGAAAGAAAATGGCATTTCGGATAAATCGCCCGAAATCTGTGATGGTACCCCTTTGGAATATGCCAAAAATTGACTCGAATAAATCAGCCCAAATCGGTGCTTAATGGACTCAATCATCGTAGGAGAATAGCCTCAGGCCAAATAAAAAATGTGTAGCCTTCAATATCCAAAGAAAATGGCCTTTCGTCGCTCAAGAAATTACGAAAATGCCATCCGAAAATAAATTGGCCAAAATCGATGCTTAACGGACTTATCATTCGTGGAGAATAGGATCAATAGACTTCATTATCGGTGGAGAATAGCCTCGGCCTGATTCCATGATCTGTAGCCTACCGAATCGAAAGAAAATGGCATTTCGGATAAATCGCCCGAAATCTGTGATGGTACCCCTTTGGAATCTGCCAAAAATTGACTCGGAATAAATCAGCCCAAATCGGTGCTTAATGGACTCAATCATCGTTGGAGAATAGCCTCATGCCGAATCCGTGATCTGTAGACTTCAATATCCAAAGAAAATGGCCTTTCATCGCCCAAGAAATTACGAAAATGTCATCCGAAAATAAATTTGCCCAAATCGATGCTTAACGGACTTATCATCCGTGGAGAATAGGATCAATAGACTTCATTATCGGTGGAGAATAGCCTCGGCCTGATTCCATGATCTGTAGCCTACCGAATCGAAAGAAAATGGCATTTCGGATAAATCGCCCGAAATCTGTGATGGTACCCCTTTGGAATCTGCCAAAAATTGACCGGGAATAAATCCGCCCAAATTGCAGCTTAATGGAATCAATTATCTTTGGAGAATAGCCTCAGGCCGAATCCGTTATCTGTAGCCTTCAATATCCAAAGAAAATAGCCTTTCGTCGCCAAAGAAATTACGAAAATGCCACCCGAAAATAAATTGGCCCAAATCGATGGTTAACGGACTTATCATCCATGGAGAATAGGATCAATAGACTTCATTATCGGTGGAGAATAGCCTCAGCCTGATTCCATGATCTGTAGCCTCCCGAATCGAAAGGAAATGGCATTTCGGATAAATCGCCCGAAATCTGTGATGGTACCCCTTTGGAATCTGCCAAAAATTGACCCGGAAGAAATCCACCAAATCGGTGCTTAATGGACTCAATCATCGTTGGAGAATAGCCTCAGGGCGAATCCGTGATCTGTAACCTTCAATATCCAAAGAAAATGGCATTTCGTCGACCAAGAAATTACGAAAAATGTCATCCGAAAATAAATTGGCCCAAATCGATGCTTAACGAACTTATCATCCGTGGAGAATGGGATCAATAGACTTCATTATCGGTGGAGAATAGCCTCAGCCTGATTCCGTGATCTATAGCCTCCAGAATCGAAAGAAAATGGCATTTCGGATAAATCGCCCGAAATCTGTGATGGTACCCCTTTGGAATATGCCAAAAATTGACTCGAATAAATCAGCCCAAATCGGTGCTTAATGGACTCAATCATCGTAGGAGAATAGCCTCAAGCCAAATAAAAAATGTGTAGCCTTCAATATCCAAAGAAAATGGCCTTTCGTCGCTCAAGAAATTACGAAAATGCCATCCGAAAATAAATTGGCCCAAATCGATGCTTAACGGACTTATCATTCGTGGAGAATAGGATCAATAGACTTCATTATCGGTGGAGAATAGCCTCGGCCTGATTCCATGATCTGTAGCCTACCGAATCGAAAGAAAATGGCATTTCGGATAAATCGCCCGAAATCTGTGATGGTACCCCTTTGGAATCTGCCAAATATTGACAGGAAATAAATCCGTCCAAATCGGTGCTTAATGGACTCAATCATCGTTGGAGAATAGCCTCAGGCAGAATCCGTGATATGTAGCCTTCAATATCCAAAGAAAATGGCCTTTCGTCGCCCAAGAAATTACGAAAATGTTATCCGAAAATAAATTGGCCCAAATCGATCCTTAACGGACTTATCATCAGTGGAGAATAGGATCAATGGACTTCATTATCGGTGGATAATAGCCTCGGCCTGATTCCGTGATCTGTAGCCTCCAGAATCGAAAGAAAATGGCATTTCGGATAAATCGCCCGAAATCTGTGATGGTACCCCCTTTGGAATCTGCCAAAAATTGACGGGGAATAAATCAGCCCAAATCGGTGCTTAATGGACTCAATCATCGTTGGAGAATAGCCTCAGGCCG